CACGAACTCCGATCTACAAATTTGATAAAGGATCCGTCTGCAAAATTTAATCGTAATCGGTCGATTCGTTTTCGAGATATCGTGCTAACGGACAGATGGACAGACAGCCAAAAATTATGAACTCGCTAGGAACTCGTTAATAATCATACTCTGCGTACTGGGGTGATTTATTACTCTGTGCTAACCAACAAAAGATATCGAATAATTTCAATGTCACTATTCTGTGAGGTACAGCAATTTTATCTAACCCTTTTAAATGCCATAAAATTGGTGACCAAATTGATTTAACTCCACGAGTGTCTACTGTTTGTTGGTAACATTAACTCCGGGTTTATTTTCCCATTTTCACGTGGTAAACGCGCACACACACACAAAAGAAACAGTTTTCCCCAAACAATTCGTCAAAATCGATAACGTCCTATTACAATAAAAGATTGAAAACCCTCTCACTCCCTCGAAATTTAACAACGAAAATTCTTTTCATTCTTTATAGGTCGCTATTCGAATTTTTAAGCTCTGAACGTAGAATGGGTTTGGCACGTAAATATTTACACAATTTATTCATCTCCACATTTCGACGAACTACTCGTTAAACTTGTGTTAACGTTTCAATTTCGTTTATTAAAGCCAAGCCGCGTATTTATCTCGTGTATTGCTTTGTGATTTTTGTTCACATTTAAATTTGAATTCATTTGCACAAACTAACTTGGCGCTACATGAGCATGGTTTAAATTATGATCGCGCTTTTACAAGGTGTTTTATGACTAACCGCTAATTTTAACAATTTCAAATCTTAAAAAGTTGATTTTTTCAAATAAAATAGGCTTAATGTTTAAAAAAATTCCCCAAGTCAGTATTGCTGATTTTGGAAAACTTTTTGAAATTCAAGTTAACGGAGTCAAAGCGCTCAAACGTCAAAAATTTTGAAAAATCTTGAATAACATAGATTTTCATGTCATTTCGATAATGCGATAAAATACAGAGTGTTCTATTTAAAATAAGAAAGTCTCTCAATGAGAAACAGCCTGATCTATATTGACGTATGCTGAAAGTATATTGTTCACGTATATAAAAGTGACCACATTTGGGTATAAAACAAGAGCTTCTCCAAGAAACTTGATCTGGCTCGCATTGTGCATAATTCTAACGTAAAGCAAACTTTTATTTCTTAAAGAGTCGTAAAAATGACGTTTGCTAGTATCTGCCGAAGTTTTCCAGAATGCATTTTATATAGTTTCAATATGATGCGGCACAGCTTAAAAATTGCTGGATTAGCTTAGCTTACACCAACTTCATTATCTCGGTACACTACCGGCCAAGCATTTGCAAACAGTCCGTAATCTCATTTATTACTTTCCTACAACCGAGCAATCTAATTACATCGAAACGGAAACGTGCAACATCTTTTGCACTTATCCGAATGCAATTTTATCTCTCTGTGAAATGTAGCTACTTTGTATTGCTATTATCGAAGTCTTATTTTAAGGTAGGCGAAATACATAATTCATAAGCTATTTTCTTGGAGTGCATTTCGTTCGAGAAGTTATTGAAAATAACGTAACTGGTTTAAAATTCAATTTCCTATTCATCAAAGTGCAATAAGCTACGTATAACTGAAGCAATACTATTCACATTTACTTGAATTATTTCGTTTCGCCGAGCGTATCAGAAAACATTTATTTTGAATTTTCTAGGAAACGCTTTCCTTTATCTGCATCACTTTTTTACATTCAAAAAATTAAATAGCATCTTGGCTTTCTTAGACATCCTAAAACATTTGTTTGCTTTAAGAAACATTGTTTTTACACGAACCACCGAATGTAATTTTGTGATCTATATTTATGTATAATCAATTATGAATTATCCTATAACAGTTAATTATTATTTATCACCAACTCGTACTCAAATTTATAACACACAAGCGCGAATGTAACTAGATATCATTTCGGCATCGATGTTGGAACAAGATTCAATTTGCTTATATAGCAAACAAAAACTTCTAGAACATTCTCGAATAAACCCATGTTATTTCCCTGAAAGAATACATCCACCTGAAATTCTTATCGCCGGTGACTAATCCTTTATCGACCTGATGGTGCCCCGATGTCGCTCTGGAATACTCGGTACAATAAAATAATGCTTATACAGTCAAAACGTGAAATGTGTAAAATTGATTTATTTGGTATGGGTCTTGATTTTTTAAAATTAGTTCACCAGATCATCCACATTTCCTTTTGTGTGTATTTCTATAAATATAATTGTATGGCCCTTAAAATGGGCACTCGATGGAGTGTGCATATTATGATTTTAATTTTAAGGTCCAGGTAGCTTTGGGAAGCGGAGTCAATGATGAAACCAAGGTGAATCTTTTATTAAACTACCCCCTCTAAATGGGTGTATTTTTGCGATTTTTGTTTTTTATCAAAGTTACAAATGACAATCGACGTTTTTTTAAAATGAATCTCGAAATGAATATAGTATGGAGAGACCCTTAAAATTATTACACAGTTTTAGTAATGATTTAGGGTGGATTTTAAGCAATTTTGATTTATGAGACTATGAATATAAATTAAAAGGGCGCATTTTAATGAAGAGACTCTTAATCAAATTATCATGTAATAAAGTATGCTTTTGTGTAAAAGAATGGTGGGCGACAATATATTTGGAAGGGTAGAAATTTCTTTTTTAATTGAATTTTGATAATTTGCCATTCTTTGTCTCTGTACTAAATTTACTTTTTGAAAACCCACGTATTTTCGGAATTATTATTTATTGACAGTTGACATGAAACCATACGAACTTATCAACGACCTTATTGGTGCTAAACACAGAACAATTATTGACTACCTTTAATCCAGAAGCGAAAATATAACCAAAAGAAGCACTTTTTACAGTTAATCAATACTCCAAAAGGCTTTGGGGCCTTTGTGTAAGTTGTAAAAAATGTTAAAGTAATAATAATGTTTTGATCTACTACTCAATTTTTGTTGCATACTGACATCTTACACCCTGTATAAGTATTTAAAAACATGTAATAAAAAATGGTCTATTTTACGTCATCTCCTTCTGGCTTTTTCCTCAACTGGAAGTGGCTGAGGCGCCAAACACCATTCGTAATGTTGTAGTGGAGCTGGAGCTTTCCTCTTTTATCACCACTGTAATATGATCTGCTCTGTCAATGATTGAATTTAAATTGCTTTTTAGTTTTAGTAAAAAGGGGGATCAACAACGTAGTATTAATATCACAACAGGCTTCCGCAGTAAACAACGGAGCTATACTCGTTAAGTGAATATCAAGCAAAGGTCATAATTACAATTCGATTGTATCGAAAACCAATATGTAATCAAACGTTAATCAAGGAGTCAACGTAAAATAAAAAATTATCTTTGAATTTTGGTCGTAGAGGCCGTTTGAATTCAGAAGGGCGCGTTCTGCAAATCTATAGCAAATCAAAACACATACATACACTATTGGGTAAGCAATGCTAACGTCTGACACGGAGGCAATCTTATATTAAACTGTAATTAATACTCAAACAGAATAAAAAATTCGAAAGTCTTTACACTAGCAAAAGCAAAATTTGATAAAAATGCATAAACGTGACCTTAAATTCAAAAAAAGTACTATACAATGCACAAATAACTAAATTTCTATTCAGTTAATCAATCCAGAACATAAACAAGATATGAGCCAATACTTCGACTTGCAGATAACGGCTTCGGATAGAGTTTCGGTAACTTCAAAACTAATTCACAAAGCAACGGTACTGATATCGGTATAATACAGCTAATCTGAACGATACACTGTAATCAAACAAACAGAAATTAATCTTCGTAGCAATCAGATAGTAACGTAGATAAAAGCGGGTCTAGATATCGGTACTATCAAATCTTCGGTATCGACAAAAACAAAGTGCATAGTAATAAGGGATAATCTCCAAAGGAGTTTCGTTATACTTGCAGTTACGAACTACAAACAACTTCCTTACAGGTAGAATCACATGTTTGGTTTCACTGAAATGGCGGGTGCCGGTAATGTAGGAACTCATCTGTGCATAAAGCGCCAAAACCAATCCTTAATAAGAAAGAGAAGCCACATAATATGGCCAACCAAAAAAATAATCTCTTACGATAGCCATGAAGACAATAAAGTAGTCTGGGTACCAAAAGAAAGAAAAAGAAACTGCATGTGGGCGACGAGAAAGCAAAAACTTGGCTAAATAAAATGTAAGAAGAAGGAATAGAATGTAATGCAAAAGGTACAAAGCGTGAACTCTAACGACAAGAAAAAGAACTCAGTAAAAAATCCTCTAACACTAGGAGAGCCTCCAACGGCAAAACAAAGAGCTAAGTAAGAGAAACGTCTACTAAGATAATAACAAATTTACTGCAGGAACTTACATCTAAAACTGGTGCATTATAAAGAAGAGCATAACTCAAATAGTTATTTAAGCGGAATGTAAATCGGAAATCTCAATGGGCAACAAAATAACGTTACAAGCTGTAGGGTAATGTTTGCGATTCTTAAATGCTCTCTAAAACACAATTAAACCGTATTAAGAATTTTAGCCATAATCGAGTAGTCCCATTCATTTATGGATTTAAGTTTTATTTTAACATATTTCATTAACCCTGTCAAGTACCAAAAAGGCATGAGGAATTGAAGCATTTCCGCTTGAAGCATGAATCTTAATTACGAACCGAAACTCATAAATAACACCTACCCAATTATGTAAAAGAAGCAACCCTTAATAACTAACTCCACGATTAAACTTTGCACGTTGTTGTTGTACGCGGATATGCATATATCTCTCCAACGAACTTGGTATCCAGAAGCATAGATAAGAGTTTTGCATTTCTCTTTGCTTTAGGAACGAGTGGAGCTTAAAATTGAATTAGAGAAATTGCAAATTTACGGAAGCTTTATAAGCGCTAGCAGTTGAATGCATTTGCCGGTGTTAGCAATGTAATTTACTAATGGGATTTTTCTTTCGTTTCAGATAACGCAAATCAACAATACATAGAAACAGTCGAAATGACAACGGTAACAGAAAGGCAAATAACGCGCGAAATTGAAGACGATAGGCAGCGGACAGGCAGTCCAAATCTTTCACAAATCGGTTCCCCAATAAGCGGTATACTGAAAGGAGGGCGGTTATGGAAACAGCAGAGTCAAGAAATCATTAATGCAAGAAACGTTGAGCAGCAACGTCCGCTGGACCCTGGCATAACGTCAGACGAGGAGAATAATGGCAATAAACGTTCAGTGCGATTTACAGAGTCAGGCGAAAATCACCGCGATGTCTGCGATGGAGCGGCCGATCAACCGCACGAGGAAAGTGTCAAACAAGAAGATGGCGGCATGCAAAAGGATAACGCGTTGCCTAACTCTTCATCTCCAGAATCAACAGAGATGACGTTAACATTTAAATTGGGCAACCACATCCTGATCTCCAATAACAGCCTAAAACCAAATTCCGCCGTGAGGCAACTGTTCCCGTGTTCAAAGCCACTGAGTAACAAGCCCGGTGAAAACGATTCCGTTCACCAGTATTTAGTAACGTCAGAATCCTTGCGCGCGTTTGAGGAAGCGAAACGATCGAAATTGCCGCAAGTGTTACAGAACGAAGACACCGACGACTCGATCAAACGCGCTATCGAACGTAATACGCTACGTCGGTCTCTGATACGATACGAGCCTAGGCCTAAGAAAAAAGAACAAAAAACCGACAACTCACTCGTGGAGCGAATTAAACAGCTCACTTGCGATGTGGACGATGCCATTCCGGAATCGGACGACATCCAGCAAAGAGCCAGCCCCCCGGGCGAAGAAGCGAGAAAGTCTCCAGAGGTTAATTCCGTAAACAAAAGTTTTTCACCCTCCTCGTCGTCTACCGCTAGCTCAAACTCCTCCACCGTATCATCCACGTACAAGAAAATTACGGATCTGTTCGGTAAACGCGAGAAACTGCCCGATGTACAAAGCGAAACGAAAACGCTGAACCAACTCGGCCCAGCTCCCGATTTGGGCAACACTAGCTCGCACCCGCAAGACTACATCATACATCACTGTCCCGTGACCAAATCGAACTCGACGACCGACACCCGTAAACAGTTTCTGTCGACTTTGGCTCCACTAACAGCGTGCGTTACCAGTCTAGGTGTCGACGATCACTACTATCACATTTCACATCACACCGGCGACAGATCTTCGGTAACGAGTTCCGTAGGGACGGAGTACAGTCTGGAAGATATCGATGATGGGTTGAAGAATGAAGATGAGGATACCAAACGGAATGCTCCCGATGTTGTGGTCGGAACACCGTCAGCGTCGGAATCGGGAGATGAACTAGCAATGTTTGTGCAACAGGATGCAGGTCGAATAGAGCGCATTAAGAAGAAGTATGTATCGCTTTGCTCAGTAGTCTCCTATTCTAGTTTTGTTTTTTCCATTTTCTTCCACCTTTCTTGTTGAATACCTGTATCCAGGTTATCAATTCCCCGTTCAGTGCAAAGTTGCCAATCCTAACATCTTCCGGTGTGTAAATTCCCGTTTTCATATTTCAATTCTACCAGAATTTTCAGCTGTGAGATTCAGTTCAGTTTTCCATCTCCCAATCTCTCGCGTTTGTTTTTGAATTCCATATTTCTGATCTTTGTATCCCTAAATGCCAGATTTTCCGTTTCCGTTTCTTGGTCCCAACGGTTCAATTTCTTTTCTCGGGATACAATTTTAAGTTTCTGATTGCATGTCCCAGTTCACCCAATTCCAACTGCCAGTATCACTTTCCAGATCCTTAGTGACGAGTTTTCACTTGATATGTTTAGTGAAACGTTTTAAATGTCCAGTTTGTAACTCAATTTCCGGTTTCTCGTTCACAGTTCCATTTTCTGTTTTTCCGTTTCCCATTACTATGACTTGTCTTCGACTTCCAGTTTGGAACGAATTATTCGGCCGTGAATTATTGGAGCGAATTATGCGGGCGCGAATTGTCCGGGAGCGAAATATCCGGGTGCGGATTGTCCTGGGAGCGAATTATCCGAGCGAATTATCCGGGCGCGAATTGTCCGGGAGAGAAATATCCGGGCGCGGATTGTCCTGGGAGCGAATTGTCCGGGTGCGAGTGGTCCGGGAGCGAATTATCCGGGCTGGAATGTGTCCGTGAGCAAATTGCACTACAACCCGTACTTGAAAACCGGAAACTTTCACTTCGAAATTTCGATATTCGAACTGGAAACTTGCAGATGCAAACCGGAGATACGAGATATGAGACTATCAACTTGAAGGTAGAAACTGAGAAAGGAATAATTCGTGACTGGAAATTCCAAATTATGGGCTGGACAATAGACAAATGAAGCTTGATAGTTTCAAATTTTCGGTCTCGTACCTCAGGTTTGCATCTGCCAGTTTCCAGTTCTAATTTCGGAATTTCGAACTGCAATCCAGTTTTGATTCCGTCACGGGTTCTAGTTCCAGAGTTTTATTTCTTTTGAACCTCGAATTTCACGGAACCTCGAATTACTGGGTCTCGAATTACCGCAACTCTACTGTATGCAAGTTCCTAATTTTTAGTGATTGGTTACCAATTCCAAAATTAAAAATTTTATTATATCTACTCGTTCTGGAGTCCAATTTCTCATGTTCTTCTTAACTTTTGTTACAGATATCAGCAGGATAGTGAGGATGATGAGCATGACGATTATGGTTTTAACAAGAGGCCGAGCGTTCGAGGAATTAAGCCAAGATTTGGTACTACCACCGAAATCTTGCAACAAATTCAAAATCAAATGCAACCCCTTCAAACTGTCAATAAAGTAAACCCTCACGTAGCTTGGCCGTATTACTCAGAGGCGAGCTTAAGCGGACTTGATAACAATAAATCTCGAAATATTAATCAAAATTTGCCCCAATATCAATATACATATGTTACCGAAGAGATGAAAACGAAAATGTACATACAGCACTATAGGCCTACGTCACTTGTAGATGATAATGTTTATCAGAACTGTACAAATCAACGATGTAATCGAGATGTCGCTTACAAAACCAACGCTAATATTGTACATTCCCCCGTCATGCGAATCGGCGGTGGATGTAGTGAACTGTACCACCCTCCTCTCTCCAGTAAAAGTAGAAACGGGCGACCAGAGTCACCTCCGCCTTTTGATGTCGCAAGAAATGTACATCAGACAATGGTTTATATCCCATATAATCACATAGAGAGTTATCAACCGGCGTGTATGTCGCCCAATCCGCAATACGTAGGAAATGAAAAGTGCTATACTAGAATTGTAAATCAAAACCAAATTAATCGTTATGGAGAACCCATTTATCATAATCAACCTAGGATGGCCCACGCTCCACTTGTAGACGTAAACTTAGTCAAACAGATACCTAAGCCAGTCATGAGGCTACCATACCCTCTACCAAACTCACAACCCCAACCCCATTTGGTAAACTCAAGGAGTGAGAGCCCTCTTCCCGGTCAATTTTCGACAGCTCGATCGACGCAAACCGCCGCCCCGCCGATGGCCACCTGCAATTACTACCAAACCGTCACCCCAAGATACAGGCCAATGGTAGGCCCGGTAATTGCGCACGGAACCATACCGTGGAATGGCGACTACGGTACTAAAATCAACAGGCACAGCTTTCCCGCGGCGGTACCAAGGTATCCGGCACCAGATAATATCTCCCTAACAGACAGCGAAAGTCAATACGGCAGCCCACTACCGAACGGATATCGACAGTCAATCGAAACCACTTTCTCTGCCCAAAAAGATTCCCTGCCCAATTCGCCGACTAAACCGAGATTTATCGAGAGAGGAGTGCCGGAGGGAGCGGCAAGCGTCTCGCCGCAGGACTCGAACGCGCAAAGCAACAGCGCCATGACTTCGCCGACGTCGCCTCAAAATCCCCCACCCACAAATTCAAAACCCTTATTTTACGCTATGAACGTTTGACAGAATGAATAGGTAAACATTAAGGTAACGATCTGCATTAGTAATACTGGCCCATCCGCGGACGACTAGAGGAAGACTTTATATTCGGACATGGCGGGGTATTACTTGAAAAGAACCGCTTTACACAGCAAAAGCGCAATCGACACGAAAAGATCTCCGTAGGTTATACTAACCATAATAAGGCAGAATTTAATAACATACAGTATTTTAATAATAACTTAATCACTTAGATTGCATAAGAATTTCTATTGAAATGTGATGGTAAAGCGTGTTTTTTGTGAGGGAACTAATGGTTAAGCATTAGAGAGTAGTCACTGTTGCCAAAAAATATGAGATTCCATTACCAAAGTATTATTGTATAGTTAGGTAATTATGAATGTTACTGACCAAATATTAAATTCAAAATGCACACGTGATTCTTAACAATTATTTTGTATTTAAATTTTCTAGATAAATTATATTAGAGTTTGGTAAATAGATTGTTAAGAATTTGTTGGCATTAAATGCAATAGCTTTAATATATTCCATATTGAGTCTTATTGTCACATGGAATTTAAGTAGGATTTAGATGTGTCGCATCTAGAATGTTAGTGACAAAAAGAGAGTATTTATTTATTTATTAAAATTGCAAGTGAGATTTAACATTAAATCATCTACTTGAAAATTTTATATTTGAAGGTAGGTAGATGCAAATGTAAAAGCTCAATTGAGCTTGTATAGTGTTGCTCAAAGCACTGTGTTATATTTTAATACTTATAAACTGGAATTGTTTTTATATCTATATTTTGATTAACAAAAATGTTAGGTTGTTAATGTTTTTTTACGTTTTTATTAAAACTACAAATATTATGAAGGTTAGTGTTGTAAAATGTTGAGAATTCATCTTGCATTACCTACTGAAATGTACTGAAATAGAATAAAATTCGTCGTAATTAACATACCAATTGAGAGGTTTTTTTTCATTATCCAAATTATCCAAAGTAGCCAACATTGAAAATTAAATTACCTAGTATGCAACATTCTTACCATCATGTATCACTAACTACCGTTATTGACACCCTCTGGGATTCATCAAGTGAGCAGTCCACCACTCTGCATAATTAAAAATAAATAATTTGCGTAACGTACCATAAGATAACATTGATTTAATTGGATAAATCCAAATTTGTATAGAAATATACTAAACGGTGATATTAATTAAATTATATCGAATTAACCAGCAAATTTAATATAAATATGGATTAACTAAAAAAAAGCTAAAATGTAAATAACAAATAACAGCCAATAATAATTACTTTGCAACAATCATTAGGTACTGAGTGTATTAATTCACTGCTTTGAGTAAATGACATATTTAAAGATAACACTACAGGCAATAATGAGGCAAAGATTAAATTTTTGTTGTACCTTATGTACCTTATGGCATCTTGTTCTTAATAAATTTATACTTAAAATAAGAACAAAACGATATTTGTTGGACATCAATATGGCGTTTAAGGCCCTGTACACACGTCCGGTTTTTAAACGTACGGTGCCGCTGCGTGAACGGACCGGTAACGTAAAAAAAAGCATTGCACACGTCCGGTTTTTAAAAGTACGTTGTCGGTCCGTTTACGCAGCGGCACCATACGTTCAAAAACCGGACGTGTTCATTGAATTTTAGTTTAGGTTACCGGACCGTTCACGCAGCGGCGCTGTACCTCTAAAAACCGGACGTGTGCACCGGGCCTAATAAGGTACGAATGTTTTAATTAACTTTAATTTGGTTTTTACTGATCGACGACTTTAAATGGTCATATGTAATTCATTACAATAATTTTAAATTTAAATAAAAAGGATTACTGATTATGGAAATTTGGTTGGCACTCTTATTTTAGAAGTCATGGATATAAAGAATGCACACTATTATTAGTTTGCTCTTAAAGAAATAATTAATAATTTCTTTGGGGCCAACCTTAACATATCTTTCTCATTTTCGGATGATTTATTTGTTCGAAACCACCCTCCATTGGTTCACTTAATGATTAGTAAGTCACATACTCTATGGTTATGGGACATGAGAGAATCGTAGGGCATAGAAATCTTCGTACGCTTCACCGTAACTTAGCTACCTACCATACAACTGAGCGCTACCCAGTTTCTGTAAACTGCGGAACCTTTCTCGTATGAAATTGGAAAGTATAGGAAAGCGATAAAATAAATAGTTGCATTTTCCCACAACGAGATAATCCAGTGATTAATTTAAAATTAATAAAATTGCAAAAGTTCAATAATAATCATCAGTTTATCTGGTCTCACAATGAAACTCAATATTTCTAGTTTAATCGTGAACTACGTTAATATTTAATAATGTATTAATTGCGATCTCTACAGGAAAAAGAATACTCAAATTCGTACCATTTCCAAACTTGAATGGAACTTATGTGTCAATAGGTTATGGAAGTTATAATTACTAATAAAAGTAATAAATGACTTTGAACGTTTAAAGAAAGTTAACATTGATATAATTCCTTGAAGAGAAATTACATTAAACCCAATAATGACATCTTCATTGATTTGAGAAAAAAAAATTAACCTAATTGATTTCGATTTTAAGTCCAACCCTGTGTGGGAACGGGGAAAGAATATTCCCACTGCAGAAGTGCACTGCATACGGTAAGAGTCCGCTAATCAAAAGCATATCTCCGCTTCTGTAGTATATATTTCTTTATATATTTCTCGATTTTCACCATTATTAGATATTATTTGGGGTTATTTGTGAGCGACTTAGGGCGGCCCAACACATACAAGGGGTCGGTCCGGCCTACAATCCGAGGTTGAGTGTAGTGTATAGCTAGGGCGGTCTGTGTATATTTTTGGAGGGTAGGTATTTACAACGTACACGCATTATACTATATTATATATATTATATACTAAAGTCTGTGTAACTTTTAGAAGATAACTTTGTGGATTTTTAATGAGGTACAGTTTGTAAAGTCCCGTTTCGTTAAATGTACCCTTAGTTTGAGTAACTGACTGAATGCGCTTTAGTGTGTTAGGAGTGTAGTTGGTACAACTGGAAATGGGGAAATTACGAAAGATGTAGAAATCTCATGTTGAAAAACCAGAGGCGTCAGGTTAAAATTTTTTTTTTAACTTGTTTAATATGTATTTAAGAAAAGGTTACAACATTAAAATATTTAAAAAATAATAAATAAAAAAAAACATTTGCAAAAAAAAATTAGCGTATACTTAAAATATAAAAAATTTCATTAAATGCTGTCTGTTGCGGTAAAGTGCCTAACATACAAGCCGCATTTCCCTGCTGTTAAAATTATCTGAAATATGTATCTAAACCTGTTTACGTGGAATGGACCACTGTTGTGGTAAAGTTATTTTTATAGGGTTCCTTATTTGGTTAACGCGTTTCCTTTTAGATTATACCATATCTTTTAATTTATTTACTTATATTTCTTCCACATATATCGCAATTCGAAACCCATTTATTAATGGACTAGGTACGTAAGTTTTGAATTAATTGGATTTCAGTCTGATATTGATATTGTAGCTTTTGAATGTATCTTTCGTGCAACGAACATTTAACAATCCTATCGATGAAGTACCTACCGTTCTCTTATTAAAATGTTAAAACGAGTTCACCATTTATGATTGATGCTGTTGTGTAAACTGAAGGGGGGTCACTGTCACCTCCGCCATAGGTCAATCGGCGGAGGTATTGTGGGGCTCTCACCCACTAAACCCCTTCTCCCTTAATTAAAAGTATCCGTCTCTAAAGCATTCTTCCAGATGCGATCTTTGTATCATTGTTGTAGGCCCTTCGAAAGGTTTTAGTTCTCTCTAGCCTCTTTTTCTGGGGTACTTATTTTTCCAATCATTTGTTCAAATTGTTTGCCATTTGTCTTCAATTACTGTAACATGTATTTTCCTAACGAAATTAATAAATAATTGTATTATTTGATACAAAAGAGTTGTATCCACTTAAATATTCTTTCTATAAACGGATCGTAGGAATACGAAATCAAACACACGATTTTAAAAACAGGGAATTTACAAATTTATATATTACCGATCCTTAATCTTAAACTATTTACATAAACTGAAATAAATTGAAGATTAATGGCCCAAATTTCTGCCATTACCACACTTTGAGCCGACAGACATGCTAGTCAAGGTAGTTACATTCAGCCTCAAATTTTCTAAATTGCCTTTATATAACATTATAGATACAAAAGAAACTAACTAAAACGGTTAATGTTTTCCATCACGCCCTTTTACTTGCTGGGAATCCTCCTCGGTGGGGTCCAAAGTACGAATTGTATTCTATGGCAATTGCTGTCTTAAATGTTAGTGAATGTATCTCCTTACCACTTCAAACGCATATATAATTCCATCAGATGTTGGCTGGTTTGGGTAAAGACGTGGTGGAATTAGGCGTCTTACGAATGGTGCGATCAGAACCGAATCTACGTCTCGAGGGTCCAGAGCTTTTGTAGCAAAGCTTGCTAGTAATCCTACAATCATGGAGAATGAAAAACCAACCAGTGTATACCATAGGTATGATAATCTGTACAGCATAAAAGTTTCACTAAAACAACGCAAGTTTAATGATTAGCAATAGAGAATTGGTGTGTACGTACTCAGTATGCATGATGTCAGTGATATTGGAAGTTTGATCCAGCCTTAAGAGGATTGGTTTTGATGCTTTAGGAGTAAAGTGATAGTGACAGCCATCGGTGCTAACCGTTTTTTCGGGAAAGTGCAAGTCGCCTGATGCAATTGCCGTTTGTGCAGTAATGCATAACCATGACATGAACGCCAAACCTGATATCCCGCCGATCATGGCACCCTGTAAGTGTGTTATATGAAGCTGAAGGATTTATCGCAGTTACCTTTGGGGATATCCACGGTAAAAGGACTCCCATTCCAAATAATGCCAGGGAAGGTCCTCCTGTGATGGCACCAATACTGATCGTTAACTAAAACATGGTGTCGAATATGCTGTTGCCAAGGCGTCTTATTACCTGTAACACCGCTCCCAATTTTTCAACGACAAAAACAAGAGCAACGCAAATTGCTCCTAAAATCACAATGGTGCTTTTCATGAGTATGTTTACGTTCCTTTCGGTTAATTTTTCAACAAAAAGTGGTTTACAAAAATCTTCTAAGACAACCGCCGCCATGGAGTTGAGACCAGTTGATAAGGAACTAAAATCAATTATGGAAGTTGCACATTTCTGAGACTCCTACCTTAGAGCTGCACTAAAGACTCCAGCTACAAATAATCCAGGTAAACCGGGATAGTCTCCCAGAACTTCCATCACCAAAACGGGTAGCAGTTGATCCTTTTCCCTGGCTAACTGCAATGATAATTAAGATTTGATGCATGTTGTTGCTGATTTTACCATAGTTGTTAATGGATCACATTTGTGATAAGTCGCAAAAATAAGCAAGCCGCTGTAGCCACACAAAATGAGGAAGGCGAAGATGCCCAGTACGAAGCACCATAGAGCCCTAAGGGTAGAGTTAAATGGAAGTTTATTACAATATGCTAAAGACCTTCGTGCTGATTTAAAGGTTGGCAGCGCTAAGTATCTTTGGAGCATATTCTGATTAACTGCGCTGCACTGAAGGTAGTAGATTGCGCCACCCAGCACTAGTGACCAAACGGTATGTCGACAGAGGGGATCTAAATCAAAACTAAGAAAATTTTATTATAGTTAGCGAAAGGTAAGGTTCGCGTACTTTGGCCTTTCAATGCGTTCGCTATACCAATTCCTTTCCAAAACTACCATCAAACCCCCAACATCGTAGCTACCCTTAATTGCTATTAACAGCATTGCGCCCAACATTATTATTGTTTGAATCACGTCCGTCCAAACGACTGCCTTCAAGCCACCCTGAAATAAAATCAAATGGTTCGCAATTTAAACCTATTTTTACCTACCATAGTGGTGTAGAAGATGCATATTGCGCAAACGATGGGAGTTATCAAATGGACGTTGACACCGGTTACTGAAAGTGAGTTCGCACTACCAAATTAGACCGCCAGTACTTACCTTGGTTAAACGCCAGAGCAGGAACGTAAATTACAATCGGAAGCCACGTGATCTAGAAAAACTCGATTACAAGCCGAAGGTTGCGCTCACCTACCTACAATCCCTACGCTGAAGAGAAGTGAACCGAACAATCGAATTTTTTTGTCAAATCTCCTCTCCAAGTACTACAATTAAATGATTTCAGTTCGGTCGAGTCGCGTCTGAGACTTTACCTCATAAGTGGAAGTGATTTGAAGATTGTGGAAAACTGGTAGGTAAATGGTTTGGAAGATTACAGCCATTAAAATCACACCACCTGATATGTACAGATATTGGATTCCGTATACGTATATTTCCGTCGGGATGCCCAATAGTGATATTCCACTGATGAAACTAAAAAAATCTTGATTATCACTACGGTTTAAAATATCAATCACCAGGTTGAGTAGATGTGGAACGGAACCCTGGTGCAATCCTACAGGCACTGTAGACCGGTGGGTCATTAAAACTGAAAAATTCTTACGTTGGAAACATCTCCCTTCATATTTCTGTACACCACTCAACTCATTTGGCTTGCCCTGCAGTTTTATGTTTGCTAAAACCTCCTCTGTGGAGACTCGAGTGCTTCCTACAGAACCTCTAAAATTACGCGTGCGTTTAACAGTATTTTTTAGGCTATCATCACAAAAACGTTGATTTTGTGGTCGCTTTTGCGGCCATAAAGTTTCACTTTATTGTACGCTTCTGTCAAACTTTACTTTATGGTACACATCTGTCAAACTGTACTTATTTGAAACTGATGTGTAAGAAACACTAATCTGTTTGATACAAAGCGTCTATCTGGTGTAACCCCATCAAGGATTGGACCATCCACGTTCGTTTTTTTCATTTTCGGACTTGTAGAAATGTTTCACACTATTTTGCATAATCACAATGTTCACATTTAAAATTATAGTTTGACGTTTCAATCTTTGCTGCTTGCAGACCTTTTTGAAGTGTAGAACCAAAACAAGAGGAAGATGTTATTGCTTACATGATTATACGAAGAATCACCAGCAATTAACCGAGAATACAAGTAGCTACCTAGGTATACACCCCATCAAAGTAGGTAATCAGGCTTCTAATAATTGTACAGCATGTTAACTATAAGGTCTTGGAAGCCACAGTAACGATGGACCTATTGCATTTGACATATTAAAATCTTGTGCAACGGAGGAAGTTGCGATTGTACTTTTACTCTCAAACGCCTGCTCTTAGATCATATTTGACAGGGTCGCAACGCTTACAGCTTCCAAAATTTCATTTGGGCTATCACCCATTTTTATACGCACAAAACACACGCAAAGATGCTAATTATAATTACATACGACAGGAAATGCTTTGTTTTTAATAGTCTAAGATAACTATGATTTTCAAAAAAAATATGTTTATGAGCAAATTTTTGATTTCTTTTTTGATGATCGCCTAAAAAATGTTGTGTGCACCTTGGCCAAAAGTGATTTGTTAGGCCTCATCTGAATTGCGGCCTCGGCTACCGCCTCGGCCGCAAACAGCAGCTTCGGCCAAAAAAGATCACTTTTACGGCCTTGGTACACAAATAACTATTGTACTCCAAGACCAATAATATACGAACCTTGTGGAAAAAAGTGGAACAATTAAAAAAACCGAATTATAAATTAAACGCAACCAACGCAAAGAACGCAAAGACATGAAGAAAGATTGTAAAAATCCGAAAAAGAAAAGAAAGGCGAAAATCTGGACGCATAAACACTACTCTGAGATGTCCAATGTATTCGAAAAGAGTTTCTAAAAAATGTAACCCCAGTTGATCTTAGTGATCTTAGTTGATCCATAGTGAACCATTCCAGAGTTTACCAATTTTTTTACAGAGCGTAAATGGAGACCTTCCTAACCGTGACAATAGGTGTGTGCTATGGAAAGGAAACTTTGACCATAAAAATAACCTTTAGTGTGGTAAAAGGCAGCGATTTTGACAAATCATAAAAAGGGAACCTTTTTAATTATGTGGTTAAAAATATTTGTAAAAAGCATCTCCACTGTAACATACGGACGTTTTTGTACGCGTTTATTTAAAAACGTGCACTATCCTATCCCGGGTAAGTTTTTTACTATTCCTTTCACTGTGTACCGCTTTTGAATTTCCCGCCACATTTCTATCTTCCCCTACCACGTTACCGTGCGGACTTTCGCTTGCCGTTTCAATTCAATGTCGTTTATCAAAGTGTAAACACGTAGTATTTTAATTTATGGTTTATCGATCGACTTAATTTTGAAAAAGTTCGTTCACCTTTTCGGATTTCCCAGTAAGTATTTTCAAATTTTTGGGATCACGCCTAATTGGGGTAACCTAAGCTTGTAATACAAACTGAAATTTAATGTACATTTCGTCTCAAATTTTATCTTAGGGCATTCAAAAAGCGTAGGAAAGTGTTTTAGCTGCCTGATGATGACGCACTAAATAACGTTTTCACTCAACATTTGGGGTAGAAAATCCCCACCCCCTTTCCACGACTATTTTTTTACGAAAATGCACGTTTTGGAGCACTAGGAATCGGAATCAAACAAAATGTTGATACTGTAGGTCTGTCTGTCGGTCTGCCTCTCCAATTTCTAGCTAAACGGATTGGAAACAAATTTGGTACACATATTATTAATCAATTTTTGATTTTTGTGTCATTATCGTTTATTAGAATTCCGAAAATACATTTGGGAGGGGATTAATGCTATCGCAATCACGGTTAAGGTAAAGGACTAGCTGATTAAATTTTGGTTATTTGGACTTTCTGTCCGTCCGTCTGTGTACATGATAACTCGCGAACGGTTTCGAATTTTTCAGTTTTGTTTCCAGTAATAGGCAGACAATGGTCAAGGGACCAACTGATTAAATTTTGGTCATTTGTACTTTCTGTCTGCCCGTCGATATTTGTCGTTCGTTGTCTATTTTGCTTTCAAACAGTTTATATTACTTGTATTATAAAGTATATGGCGCTAGTTATAGAGATTCTGTCCTAGAATCTTCCTTTTGCCGGAATTTTAATATGGTGATTCTAAGTTAACGGATCTGCAAATTTTTTTCGTGTAGCGCATGGTAAAAAGTTGTCCATAGTCGTTTTAGGGGTCCATTACTGGAAAAAAAAACTTCTGCATCCGAAAAATGCACAGTAGACCATCGCGTAATAGTAAACATAATACTGAAAACAAAATTGGAAAATTCAAATCCGTTAGCGAGTTATCATGTACACAGGCGCACAGACAGACGGACATAAAGTTCAAAATAATGAACTCGCTCAGAAGGTCGTTAATAAGATTGCAAACTATAGACGTATTGAACGTATCTTGCTTGGTCGTACTGTGGAATAAATGTTGTTTCATCTGGTAACATATCACGTTGCATTTTCCACGATACTGAAATAACCTCTTGCTTTTTCAATGGTTTAGAGTACATAATGCCAATTAAGATACCCACTTTAGCTCTAGTTACGGCGACATCACGTCTCCAGATATCCGTAACCGATAATGAAAACAATGCTCTATAGAAATTAAGACGCAGAAAAGACGATCTTCTATTCCAACACATTATTGAAATTTCACTAGCCACATAAGTTTTTGGAAAATCAGCCCTCTAAATTTTGACACCCTGTAGACTGTGCTATATGATGTTGGAGTGGGGAGATTTATGTTTTGTATTTTGTAAAGGACCCATTAAATTCATTAATCATACTTTCCAGAGGGAACAAGACCGCGTTCTAGGTGGAGCTGAACACCACCTGACCACCCCCTGATCTGTTACACACGTTCCATAAGCGTTAACCCCATTATAAGGTTCATAACTTTGCAACAAGGTTCTTGATTGCAATATAACAAACTCAGAGGCAATTTTATACGCAATTCAATACTACATATTCATTTTGGTGCCTAATTTTAGTCCCCCCTTGTTGTTTTATGATTAAATTATGATGATTCTATTTGCTGTTCGTGGAGGAGAAAGGAAAATTTACCTGGCAATCAAGGACATGGCCACTGGAAATACCTTCATATTTCGGCCGCCCATTAAGTAATCTTGCTCGTTTTCCGAAGATCTAATGAATCCAAAATAGAATCCGATAATGACACATATCATCAACATTAAGACGAAAACCAAGTAATCTGGCCATCCAAATTTTTGCATTGCCGTCCCTATTTCAGCGACCCCAACACTGGTGATAATTTTCTCACCCTGATCGACCGCCATAAAAACACTTTCATCCACCACTTCCGCCATAACTAAAACATAAATTTCGAATGCGTCCAAATTAATAACTTGAATCTTCACCTGGGATATTCCCTACTTTACACTCGTGAGTAATTTCGTCGGAAAATTAATGCTGTTAGCTTTTCCGGGTGAAATATTTTACACAAGTATCGTATGTTTCTTCTAAACCCTTTCATGATAAACACATACGTACTTGATAAGTAGCTGTGCTCTAGTTAAACTAAATGTGGACCGCATTACTCTCCCTATTATTCGACGGATGCGTCCCCCATTACGCCAGAAATTGTTCCGTACTTGCAGGTCAAAACTTCAATTACATTTTATATAAAATATACCTATTATATATCTATTTTAAGACGTACAAAGGACTATTTCTGGCGTATTTATTTCAATTGAATAATTTGGGACGGGATCAGAATTGTCCCCTTTCTACGCATTTCACTTCTCTCGTGTTTACAGTTAATTTATTTCGTCAATTTCCGCTTCTAATTAAGAGCGTCTAAAATTAAATGCTGTCCATTTATCTTCATGGTTAGCATTAGCTTACAGAATCGTCTAAAACGGCTTCGCTAAACATTCTACTTACGGACGTTATACGTAAGAGCCTGGAAAATATCCATAATCGGCATTTCGGTGATGGTATCAAAAATTCTTTTGCATTTTGGCCTGTAGAATCCAAAATGGCAAGCAGTTCACATATTGTACAAAGGGTTCAGAAGTTATGGGAAGCAGAAATAAAGCACAGACCTGTAGTTGTTCTCAAATCATAACATTCTTCGCTCTTAAAATTCTCCTAAAGTACATAGGTACCTTCCAGGTTTTTAAAATTTCTTCCTGCTCTCCTCAAGCTTTTCTCAATTTCTTATTATAGCGTCCCGAAGTTCTCCTCTCAAGTCGCTGTCAAGTTCCCAATTGCTTCTTTATATATCTGTTTCCTCTCCCCGGCATGTAACTCTCTAGCGCCCTTAATGTTCGTCAATTCCCACGAGTAACCATAAAATTATTTGTTCCTGTTTAGTTTATGCGTCGCTTTCTTTTCCTTCAACTTACCTTTACGTTTCCTTCAAACTTTTTCAAACTCTTCTCAAAGGGCTCACATTAGAACCTGTAAATACCATCAAATCGTTCTTTATTTCTAGCCAAATTAGCTGAATCAGCGCTTGACCCCTTTTGGTTTTTCTCCTTTCTTCCATGTCTTTTTTATTCAATATTTTACGTGTTTATGTGTTTTGGTCCGTTGTGTTGAATGATATTAGTAAAGATTTTGGTTGTCGAGTCTATGCGTAGGTAATTGGTCCCTACAATCTTCTCTCTGACCATAGACCTCTTCTCTCGATTCATCTATTCTATCTTGGTAGTAACAACTTGTTCTTTTTCGAAATTCTCTTATGCTAGTAAATGTTACATTTCTTCTTTAATTTGTTTTTGTTTAAATTCCCTTTCATTTTTGTGCTGTACTGGTTTTTTCGTGAACTGAATTTGAATGTGCTAGTCAATTACTCACAAGGTATTGCTCTGAACCCAATAAGGTACTCATTTATTTACCTATACGTGAATTACCCGAATAATACAGGTAAAGTAAGACTAAATATAACAGTGTGGCGGCAAATTATGTACAGTGTGGTCCAATTTCGATGGGATGAACCGGACAACTTTCTTATTGCAGCAAATCGAAAACGGTTTAGGTACTCGTTGCCTCTCTTTTCATGCTTATTCCATTACCGTTGCCAGAAATAAGCTGCCGTTTTTTTCCCTAGAGAGAAAAAGGGAAAAATGGCCAATTCCTTCAATTCACTGTATTTTTGAAGCTAGAACAAAATGACTTTAGCATTATTCAAGCACTTTTAAACGTAGAAATCAATGCCGTCGGTCGTTTGTTTCTAGACCTTTATTTATTTATTGTCCTTCTTGTTCTAGGCGCTCAACAAGCTTACACCCAATTACAAAGTGACCCGCATAATGCTTTTTAGAGGTACCTCTGCAGAAGGTTTTAAGTTGTTTTTATACTACTCCGGTATTTACCTTACGAATTAGGAAAACTGCAGGAAAACCTAATTCGGAGTAGCCGCCAGAATGCCCGATCTTCGGTTTTGTAGCCCAACGCTCTACCACTGAGCTACAAAGCAGTGCTGCAACTTAAAGTTGATTTTTTTAATGGAAATTATAGTTGACCATATTTACTTTCAGACAAGATGTATTAATAAGAAAATTTATTGTAGAAAACTTATTATTGATAAATAAGTATGATATACATTTTGGCAAAGCTCGTAAAACAATAAATCATTTAAAACCATGGTAAACTGTAACTAGGTACCATTTTAAAAAATCAACCTTGAGCTTTCTATGTTAAAAAGTGCCTGAATAATGCTAAAGTCATTTTGTTCTAACTTCAAAAATAAAGGAGTTACAGCAAATTGAAGGAATCGGTCATTTTTCTAGTAAAAAAACAAAAAACGGCATCTTATTTGTTAGCTTCTTAGCTTAATGAGCAGGAGTGAAAAGGGGGATTTTAAAAAGTGTACGATTTACAAGCTGCAGGCGAGTGCAGTGTCATTTTCCGTGTAATTTTTTGCGTTGAAGCGAATGAGACTATACCCAAAGTTACAGGATCAATATTTTGCCAGATATGAATGGTTTTTGTTGAAGAAAATGGAAACAACTCGTTTGCATTCGACAATTTTGTGAAATTCTTGTTTATGACCTCGATAGAGCGAAAGCGGTAAAGTAGATGAAGGCGGGGGGAATTTCTGCCGCCCACGTCTCCTCACCTAGGATTTGTTGTTCGGTCATCTTCGCACGTTACTGTGAACGTGAGCCGATCGAGTACGTCACTAAATCAGCGTAAGAGTAACGTGTGCGAAAAATATACACTCAAGAGTAATGAAACCATTGTTGGGTCAAATGCTTTCTCTGCTTCATTTACGCCAGGCAAGGAAGCCCGGTGCAGTATACTGCAAGGACGGGAAGCATGTTTTTCTCAGTGGCGATGATGTTGTTCACCGCGACTGCAGAAAATCATATACAAAACATACCCCCAAAATAAGGGTGAGTATTAGTATTATAAAAGTATCGCCAAAAAAATGGGGTCGGGGGATTACTTAAGGTTTTTTTTTGTGGATCATCGCTTTTACCGAGATAAAAACCCTTGAAAAGTTACGAATTAATCTAATATTAATAACTAAACATGTTACATGCGGTACCTAGTATCACAGATTACCCTACACTAGTGTAGGGTAATCTGTGCTAGGGTAAAAGTTTTCCAATTGTTTTTGCTGTTTAAATCATACTTTTGATTTCCTTTTTCCATTTTGTTTCAGCATAAACCTTTCATATCACGCAAAATATTGATCCTATAAGTCTCATTCACTTCTGAGCAAAAAATTGCAAGGAAAATGACCCTTCATCCGACTAGTGTATTATTTGAAATTTCCCCGGAAGGGGGTAGGACCCCTAAATTTTTGTAGGACCCAGCAAGTTCTTCTGTCTAGTGCCAAGATAAACTTAATAAACAAAGTTTTATTGATGTACTTATTTTGCCTCCAAAATTTATGCTAAACTAGTTAATCTTTGCCAACAACATGATTTACTAGTAATGTAATAAAAAATAGATACATATCTATTGAAAACCAGTACATACTTTTTACTTATTTCCGGATCTATGTAAAGACAATTGATATACTTAAACATACTTAAATTAAACGTTTGTTTCCGTACAACCTGAACAGACTTCAATTAGCCATTATTGAAAGAGCTCTTTCAACTGGTACATTCATTTGGTAATAAGTTTGTTTCTTTAAAAAGTCTCCATAGCGTAGGGTTTTAGAGGGGATATGAAATCTATTAGTTCTTCTCTTCAGATATACAAAATGGCGCAAGCAGCAACGAGTTTTTTTTTAATACTTAACCTCTTCGTACTGGCTTAAACTTCATGATGGAAGAATTTTTATTTGGGCCAATGAACAAACATAAGGGATCATATCCTATTTCTCTGTCTTCGGTAGCACCCAGCTCGATTTCAAAATTGTGTATAATTTTCATAAGAGCTACTTTCACAGTAAGTAATCCAAGTCTAGTGGCTGAAAAGCGAATGTTACCTAACTGACGGATATACAAAAGCACTTGCACCTATGCAATTTCGCGGACCTATACCGAACGGAAGATAAGAACCGGACACAATATTTGGCCTATTTTCTGGAGAGAAACGCTCGGGATCGAACTTCTCTGGATTTGGGAAGAATTCACTATTGTGGTGCAAACCATATACACTCACAAAACACGGTAGACCCTTTTTAATAACGATATTTGTGTCTGGAATGGTATACGACTTGGTGCATACACGTTCCAGAATTGGCGCTATTGGGTGTTTTCTAAGCGTTTCTGAAAGGAATAAGTCATTACGTGATTGCTATTTTTTCAATGCATTTACCTGAAACTACCATGTCTAGGTAAACCATGTCGTATAAAACTCGTAATGACAAAACTTCGTGCTTTGACAAAACTTGCGTTATCTCTTGGCGCAGTCTGGCTTGTACATGAGGGTGTAGACAGATTTCGTGTAATGCCAAAATAATAGTATTGGTCGACGTGTGCGCCGCGAAATGCATTTGAAACGCTTGGGCTACAAGCTCGTCGTGCTCTAAAAGAGAAATTATTAGTATCAGCGTGCGAACTGCAAGAGATTACCTACTGAGTATTTCCCCGTGCCTTCTTTCAACACTGTTCAATAAATCAAGGAAATCTCCCCGGACGTACGTTGAACTTTTTCGTTGCTCCATTGTATTTACCAATATACGTTTAAGAATTTGCGTTGACGTTTTATCAAAAAACCTCATTTTAAGAAATTGTGCCACGCGTGGAAATACACCAAAACAGAATCGCTCAATCAGTGTCGCGAGGGATTCTTTAGCTAACATTTCAGACAACACATAGTAACGCGTGTTTTTATGCGTTAATGATTCTGCCGAAAGTCCAAAGAGGCCGGTGCCGATTATATCACTGGTGTACATGCTCGCCATCATAGGCACATCTATCGACGGCTTTGTTGTCATTTCGCTTTCAATGTAAGCCACCAAATTATCTCCAGTCTTAAATACAATTGTGGATAGGTTTGCTAGTTTATACGGAGAAAAAAAGGGCACCAGTGCCTTTCTCACTATTTTCCAAGTCGGCGATTTCATGAAAAACATCGAGTTCACACCCATTTTATCGTGATTACAGTTTTGTCCACCTAACCTGTGAGCGAAAAAGTCGGAATTTTTGACAAACATCTGCTTGATCAGTTCTGGATCTCTTATCAAAAGCGCTGGAGTATTTAATGTAAAAAAAAATCCATAGAATAAGTGGTTTGTTGACTCGTATAAATTCCTGAACCAGAATGCGCTGGATTTAATTTGTAGCAGCGCAAGCAAGTTTCCAAATAGTAAAGTTGGTTCAGCATAGGGCACGCCCAAGTTCTTCCAATAACTGTTGCGTTTCTTTATATATAGGCACAGACAAATTATAATGCTCACAAAAATAATTGCTGTCAGTAAATACATCTAAAACAGTTATAATAAATACAAATCGGCAATGGAGATACCTACAGTTTGGCACTTCTAAAATTACCACATTCGTTTCTATTTGAACAACAAATTAATATTGAAATGTAGTTAACACTAAAATATTGAAGGGTTGCCCACTAAGTTGACTACTGACCTTGTGCTCGTTTTGCCAAGGATCATGAATCTTAATTGCCTTAGGTTTAGTTTCTCAACCAAAGATAGGATAACCACTTAATTTGTTTATATATTAGATCGATATCTGCGCTGATATCACATCATAATTAAATAATTTAATTTGTAAATAAATGCATACGTGGAGTCACGAGTGCCTCTTACATTAATTTTGCAATTTGAAAACTAGCAAAATGGGAATAATGTGCAAATAAATCATAATACAAAGAGACCCCAAATATAATAATAAGCATTGCGACAACAGTGTACGTTTCTAGATAAGCCAAGAAATTGATCAATATTTTTGTTACGATAACATACGATTTCAAAAACGGCTACGCACAATACAAATGTTATCTCTTTAAAGTGAGTACATGAACATAACTAATTTCTTTTTAAATTGTATTATATTACGTAATTCTACGAAGTTAGCCGCACCGACGACTCCCTTAAACACATTTTTTATTATACCCGAATCACAATCTCCGTTTTAAACACTCAAATGCGTGCGAAAAAAGGCCTTTAAAACACACGTGCTTTAAAGTTGCTAAGTAACGATACTTCAAGTATGACTTTTGAAACTGTCATCTGGATGAAATAAAAAATCATCTTAGGTCGCTTTCTGTAAATGCAGAACATTTCTTTGGCTTTTGTACCCATCCTTTGGTTGAAGCTTTCACAAACGCACGTAATTTAGAGTATGCTTCCAAATCTGTTCGACTTTTAATCGCAACATTGCTTGGAAGTTTTGAATGAATGCACCAAAATATAGAAGATTTAAATACCTTTGACATTTCCTTCATGTATGCCAGCATTATCGATTCATTTAAGACTGTATTCGTAAGTAACTTCCTATTCATCCATGGAAACAACTTTTCATATTCTTTATAATAGGCTTTACTGGAGTTGGATTTTACACCTACCAACGTTTGTTTAGATTTTACAAGCGATTTAATGAACGGTGTATTATCTTTTTCAATGGAAATCGTTTAATTCACAAAGACGATGATTTTTATAAGCAAACGTCAAGTGACATCACAGAATACGGCCTTCTCAGAATAGAAACAGCAATGTCACAAATTTGTATGGTATTTTGGCGGACCCTGGTGGGTGTACTGTAAACTAAAGCATCAAAATCAGAGTAGCGCCATCTGGTGACTAGCTTCTAAATCCATGAAGTAATTTCCCCAATTCGATCTAAATAACAAATATAGATAAAGAATACACAGTTGTTAAATTGCAAGTATATTTAGATACAATCACATTACATTATTTAACACAGACATCTTAAATTACATGTTTACAAATTACATATAAAACTCAGAAGTAAGTGCAACTTACGCTTTGTAGAAGTTAACACTTTGCAAAAAGATCCTTACGTAACGAGTTGTCCTACGAAATATTTGGTTTTAATTGCTGTTTGGACTACATATTTTTGTTAAAAAATATCTTTAGAACTAAATTTTTTGTTCCAAGAGGTGATAAAACCGTTTCAGCAAATTGTCACACAAGTTTTTGACAACAAATGTTAACTTGATCCTGGTGCTTACTGGTTACTTGAGAAGCGAGGGTGGAAGTTGTTGAATTATCTAAAACGAATTACAATATAAGTATCTACATCTATATAAATATAAAACTCAAGTCTACACCCTTTTGCGCCTATAGGTACAGTTGGTAATAATTCTGCGTCAATTTGTACCTGTTACTTACCTTGCATAAATTGCAAAAGGAAAGAAATAACAGCACATTTCAACCCTCTTCGCGTTTCAAGCACAAAACAAGCTGTTTCAAAATGTGGGAAACGATGCCTTTTTGATATTTTATTGTTACAATCCGACACACAACACTTTTTACGGTCACATAACTTGTTCATATTTTAAATCTTTCAAAAGTCAAAATTGACATGTGGAAAACCTGTGTACGTATAAAATCGACGGTAAAAATATTTCCTGTAACGAGCAAAATTACAGGTTTTGCAAAAAAATATTTGAGTCTGCGATAAATAGTTCTCCGTACAACCACGGGAAACGCTGTAATCAGTGACAATTTAGCGCCATTTATGTTTCTGTTCTGTGAAGGTCTTATTCTGTGAGTGACATTTCCATGGCAATCGTGAAATTACGAACACCCAGCCCACTTAATTAGACATGTATTCGCGTATAACGTCAATATGACTTCATTGTATTACCTATTTTTAAATTATACTGCAGGTATAATAAAAAATACTATAAGATACACGTGTATAATTGGTCTTTAAAGCACTTGCAACGTTAAAGGCACTCCGCTTTGCGTCGTGCCCTTAAACTCGTTGCGCTTGCTTTAAAGACTTGATTATACACTTGTATCTTAATATACTATTTCNCTATTTTTCACTACTAGCGTCTGATGACATGATTATTAACCTTTTTTCACTTGTAAAGTAGGCTTTCTCGGCATTTGTTCAAAGTGGTTAATAATGTGGACATTATTAACTAGTAGTCAATAATGAGAACTGTCACGCTGTCACTTTTAGAAAACACAACCCAAAATTTCGCTCAATGAACGTTTAGACAAGTTCTCTAAAACGAATAATTGCCACCATTCGCAATTTCCAGAGAAATTACATACCTAAAATTATCACATTTTGAAAAAATTCGAACGAAATTAGTCTTTGAAAAATCTCAATGACAGAACAAAATACGGCCTGTTTGACTTGTACTTCCACGTACTTGATTGACATGTTAAATTAAGAAACAAACAATTCTGTCCAACCGTTAACTCTCTTATCAATATAATATGTTAATTTAGAGGATTTCAAGTGCTAGTAGTGAAAAAAATAGTATATATACCACGGTAGAGAAGTCTATTATTGCCATCGCACCTTACACCCCTCGGCGCAAGCGCCTCGAGATGTAATCTTGGTGCTCAGGCAATAATAGTGGACTTCTCTACCTTGATATATAATGTACTATTATATTCAAAGGTATTTGTCTAAAGTGGATTCATGAGTGACGTTTATATTATTTTGCAACTTGAAAAATGGCAAAATTCTATTCTATTGCACTCATTAATGCAGAGTAAATTCTACGCTGGGAACAATTCAGGAACCAAGGTAAACTACCAAATACGATTTCTCGCTTCTTAGTTCAAAAAGCATAAGTCAATATGATACTGTTGACATTCGCCACTGCACTATTGATCGGCACCTGTGCAATGGTACGCTACTTTAAAAACAAGTACAAGTACTGGGAATCAAATGGTGTGCCATACGACAAACCAACTTTGTTCTTCGGCAGCTTCTTGCGCTTCTTTTTCGAAAGAGATAACTTGAAGAAGTACCTGGAGCGCACCGGAAAGAAATATGATTCACCTTATTTTGGATTCTTTATATTTACCAAGCCGATACTGGTAATCCAGGATATTGAGATAGCGAAAAGGATCTTGATTAAAGATTTCGTGTCGTTTCCAAACAAGCTATTTTTTCCTAGCAAAAATTACGATCCAATATTTAATAATTCATTAATAAACTTAAGAGGAGAAGAATGGAGGTATATGAGACGCAAGCTTAGTCCAGTGTTTACAACTGGCAAGATAAAGACCATGTTGAAGATAATTGATGAGTGTTCAGATCGGTTAATGAGGTATTTGGCGAACATTCCAGATGGTGATCTGGAGGTTACTGAGGTAGCCTCCCGGTTTGCAGCGGATGCGGTCTCCTTATGTATGTTTGGTGCAAAATGCGATTGTTATCAAAAACAAGTACACCCATTTCAACATTACGGCCAAAATATACTTACCAAAGGAACTATTGGTGTCATCAAAAATGCCGCGTATATATTCGCACATTTTGCGGTTAAGATTTTTAGATTCAGTTACTTAAATCCCGAGGCAGTAAAATATTTTCGAGGAGTTTTTTCAGATATTTTCAATAAACGCAAGGGGCAGTCTGTTAAGCACAATGATTTGGTCGACATTTTGCTGGGTTTGAAGCGAAATGATGGTTTTAATAGCAGTTTCGTGCTCGGTATGTTCATCTACAAGTAGCGTACACGTTTTATGTACCTATTTCTTTAGACGACACCCAACTAGTTGCAGAAGCGATTGCATTTTCCTTGGCGGGACAAGAAACGACATCCTCTGTGCTTTCCTTTACGCTCCACGAGTTAAGTCTAAACAACAAAATACAAGATCGATTGAGACAAGAAATTGTTGAAATAAGTAATAGATATGGAAATATCACTTCTCAGGCATTGCGAGAAATGAACTACTTAAGGATGGTTGTTAATGGTACGATCTTTGTAATTTTGCAAAAATTTCAAGTTCTTATTAGAAACACTACGGAAGTACCCTATCACAACTTTTATTCAACGGGAGGCACATGATGACTACACAATTCCTGAAACCGGACTCCATTTGGAACGGGGAACGAGTATAATTGTACCTTTAAAGAGTGTCCATTACAACCCCAAGTGCTTTCCAAACCCTGAGATTTACGATCCGGAAAGGTTTAGGGAGCAAGATATACCATTGGCCTTTGGTATGGGGCCCAGAGCTTGCATCGGTAAATACTACATTGGCATATTTTATTGTAATGTGTTTTTACAGGGAAAAGGTTTGCTCTGGTAATGATAAAGATGGCACTGACAAATATACTGAAGAATTTTAAAGTGGAAAGAAATGCAGAAACAAGGGAGACAGTAACAATTGACTCACTGCACATTTTTAGACCAGAAAACTGCGTCAATGTAAGATTTACGCATCTCAGTGAAACGTAGTGAACACCACTCAGATGACCTCATCTTCAAGTGTTGCCGTTTAAAAATAACTAAAAGGAGTATCATTTTCATCGTGAGATCTTGATCTCGAGAATAAATCGTAACATCTGGAGCGCTGTAAAGATTCCCAATTGTATCCAAAATCTGTGCTTCTGATTTGACCAGAACCATTGTGGTGTGCTTCGTCGATTTGATCGTACCGACGACTTCCTTGAATACATTTTATATACCAATTTATAGTTTATTAGTAAACCTCTATTCCGGGTACAAAATAGAAACATGAGTGGAAACTATTATCTACGTCGTAATTTGGGTTCGATTAATAACAATTAAAGCATATTTTTCTAGCAAGTAATGCTGTTTCCTTTTTTCCACTGTATTAGCAATTTGCACCTATGACCTACGCAATAGTTCGTTGTTTTAAAAATATGGAGTAGTACTGGGGATCACGATATGTGCCAACTTTTTCCATTGACCTCTTCTAGCACTTCTTTTGGAACAAGATAACCTGAGAAGGTACTTGGAAAGAACTGGAAGCAAATACAATTCACCTTATTGCGGAATTTTTCATTTTTAACAAGCCGATACTACACCTTTTCCACTTTTATTCGAGAAGTTGTAAATTGTATTTGAGAATTGTTACTTGTATTTGAGAAAACATCAAAGTAGATGAGAATAGTCAGTTGGATTTGAGAAAACAACAAATGTAGTTGAGAATAGTCAATTGTATTTGAGAAAGTATCATTTAATTTTAAGAAGTCGTTAATTGTATTTCAGAATTCAGATTGTAATATTAAGAATCAAATTTTTATAATTCCGCTACTGTATGTAGTCCCGCAACAGCAGCAGCATCAGGCTATGTTATACATGGGATTTTGTTTTTCTCATTTTCAATTGATATCTTCTCAAATACATTTTACCATTTCTTGAATACAATTTACTACTCTCAAATTCATTTGATGCCTTCTCAAATACAAATCACTATTCTGAACTACATTTGTTGTTTTCTCAAATACATTTTACTATTCTCAAATACAATTGATACTTTCTCAAATTAACTTTATAGTTTCTCGAATAAAAGTGGAAAAGGTGTAGTAATCAAAGAAATTGATATAACGGAATTCCTCTTGGTTAGAGATTTCTCGTCGTTTCCAAACAAATTTTTGCGTTTTATAATTTGGTGCTCATCTGTACGGATTTTATCGGAACTTGTGGAGCTCTTAGTTTCCGATTTGGTACCTATTGGAACTGATGAGCTGACCCTTAGTTGTTACTATCTTCTCTATTGTCTTGGACATATTATCTTGATTCTTTTGTTCTATCTCGGTAGGTAACTATGTGTGTTGTAAATGGTTCATGATTATGTATTTTTGAACAATTATCAAGTTAGCAAAAGTAATAAAAAAAATCTGTCAGTCAATCATATTTTGAATAATAAAATTCGTATCATTCTTAAGAAAATCAGAAGCCTAAATCTTCCTGAAAGCTATTTTCAACATTTGGCGACGGTGACAGGACAAGGGGTTTGTGTAAAATCCGAGGTAAAATCTTTCTGCAATAAGATTGTTGACATTTTAGGCTGATTTTTAAACTATTTGTGTATCATTTGCGTTTGTAAGACTACGCTTTAAAGATATGGATCGGGCAACGAAGTCGCGTTCAGCGGTACGTAGGGCGTTCACGACGATCGCAAATAAGTTGACTAAGATGATAGAAGCAGAATCACCAGACGTTAATACCATTCGTGCTAACTTAGAGCTGTTTCATGAAAAAGCTGAATCTCTACGACAGGCCAATCAAGAGATTTATGACTTGATGTTGGATGCTGACGCTACGGAGGATCAGTTAGATACGGAAATAGCATGCGTAGATAAGTATGAGTTTTCTTTTAAGAGCTTGAATCTGCAATGTGAAGAACTAGTCTCTTCTGCTGTAATTTGTAATAATGAAGCTCATAACGAAGCTCAAAGCGTTCGTAGTGAAACAAATAGTAACAAAGGGATCTTCCGCAGAATCAAGCTGCCTACTATTGAATTTAAAAAATTCAATGGTGATATACGAAATTGGTTGTCATTTTGGAGTCAATTTCGTAAGATACACGAGGACAATGTACTCACTAATGAAGATAAATTTCAATATTTGATTCAGGCAATGTCTTCGGGTACTCGTGCAAGTGAATTATTAAATAGTTTTCCTCCCACGGGTGACAATTATACTGAAGCTATTGAAAGACCTATTAGTTGAAGTCTACGTACGGGAGCTATTAAAAATTATTTTAAATAAGGCATTGTCTCCCTAATCAAAAACTAGGTCTGTCTAGTTTATATGATCGTATTGAAACACAATTAAGAGCATTAAGTACTTTTGGCGTGACAACTGATACATGTTCTGCTATGCTATACCCTTTAGTCGAATCTTGTTTGCCAGAAGATTTATTAAGAGCTTGGCAACGATCATCTCAGTTTTCGGGTAATGCTGGTGGAACATTAAAAACGAGATTAGATGTTTTAATGTGTTTTATAAGGCCTGAGGTACAAAATGATGAACGCATTAATTTAGCTGTTGAAGGGTTTTTACCTCAGACAGATAATAAAGACAAGAAACCCAAATTTAAAACGAGTGAGTCGATACCGACTGCAGCAGCTCTACTGTCAGTAAACACTCTTGCAAAATGTTTGTTTTGCAAAAAAGATCATGCTATACTTCATTCACTATAAGAAGGTAGTAGATGGCGCTGTGTTTGAAGATAAACACACACAGGGAAAATATAAAACGGCACCAAATTATTGTAGAGTAGAAATATTCAGCACTGCGAACAGAAATAAATCTTTGACAATAACAACTAATGACACTTCGGCAGTTTAGTTGGCAACATAAACTACCACCTTACAAAATTCAGCAGTCGTTTTATGTTTCATTGTAATACTGACTCGTGTTTTAACCAACCACAGTGAAGGTCAAAGCTTCCCTATGCTTTCTACCGCTACCTTCTTAAAATGAATACAGTATAGTGAGTCATGCTTTATGGTTCGGAAAATGTTACTGTCGGAGAAACAACACTTGTTAAGCAATAAAAGGGCATGCTTTTCTTGTCTAAAATTAGGACATAACAGTAAAAGATGTCGTCAAAGGCTAAAATGCATCATTTGTAATGGTAAGCATGTACCACTCATGTGTTCAAATTTAGCGAGCAATAAAGCTGCTACTTCTGAGAACATTGTGGAAAGAAGTCATCAAACCACTTCTGTTGAAAAAGCATTGTCTAATATTTGAGACAGACACGTTTTTTTTGCAAACTCTTAAAGTTTTGATCCGTAACGATAATACTATGCGTGAAGTACGCGCAATAGTGGATACTGGTTCTCAACGTTCTTACATTTTAAGATCAACTGCAGAAGAATTAGAATATCCAGTTAAGAGGCGGGAGAAAATTATTCATACCTTATTTGGGGGTACCAGTACTGATGAGCAAGATCATGCGTGTTATGATGTAAGGGTCTTAGATTTGGATCAGAGGTATGCTTTTCGATTCGAAGTTTTAGAACAATCGATTATCTGCGACAATATACCAGTCTTTAATGGACCATAGATGAATGAATTAGACAGATTGCAGATAACAATATCGGATGTTACAAATTACAATCGCCACTCCGGTGGAGATACTCATAGGCGCAGATGTAGCTGGAAAATTACTAACAGGCAAAAAGTATGATTTAGATTGTGGTCCGGTAGCTGTAGAAACGTATTTGGGTTGGACATTGTTGGGCAAAGTTCCTGTTCTAAACAAGCCAAAAGGCATTACCACAATGTCTGTGACCTCGATTTTATGTAAAGATGTTACCAACACAAAGTTATCGAATTTTGATGTTATCGGCATTGTTGATCATGTTGACAAACAATCTAAAAAAGATTGGAGACATATGTCATTAAATCCTACAGACTTACCATCACGTGGATGCTCACCAAAACAATTGTTGGAACCGCGATGGTGGGAGGGACATAGTTTTGCTGTATAGTCTTCCAGAAAATTGGCCAGAATTTGATTAACTTTCCGCCCTGAATGAACATGAAATTAATGCAGAACGTCGGAAGAAATTAATTGTTTCAATGATCAATTATGAATGTTCCTATTGGTATAATGAACGATTTTCTAAGTATGACGACTTAGTATCTCTTTTTGGTTGAATTCTACGATTTTCATATAACTACCGTAACAGTGAAGATAGACATATGTCTCACGTGTTGTCGGCTGAAGAACGAGAAATCGCTGAAAAATGTCTGTTGAAATTAATTCAAAAAGATTCTTTCGTTGATACAAAACAATTGTCATTTTTATCTCCTTTTGTAGATGCTGAAAGTATTATACGATTGAAGACTAAGATATCACATAGAAATGGTGAACTGGACTTAGTATATAGTGATTGCGGAACAAATTTTATCGGTTCGCGAAACGCATTATCAAAAATTGACTGGTCCACTATTTTAAAGTATAGTGCAATTAATCGCATAACGTGGTATTTTAACCCACCAACCGCCGCGTGGTGGGGCGGATTTTGAGAAGGAATAATAAGAATTTTGAAATCTTTACTTCGGAGAGTACTAGGCACCTACCTGAATTATGAAGAATTGGTATCGGTTTCGTGTGATTGTGAAGCTATAGTTAATTCAAGGCCAATCACATAATATCTATCAGATGATCCATCGGAACTCTATCCATTAACACTAAATTTTTTTCCACAAGAACAACGGGATATTGGTGTACCTGACTTGGATGCAATTGATTCGTCTTCTTTAAATAAGCGGGTTGCATATCGTCAGAAAATTCGAGAAAATCTTCGTCAGCGTTTTAGAACAGAATACTTGGGTCAACTGAAGTTGTCTTCCAAAGGAAAGAAAAATATTCAAGTTCGATTGAATGAAATTGTGCTGATTGGTAATGATCAGGATAAACGAATCGACTGGCCATTAGGAAGAATTACAGAAATAATTCCTGGAAAGGATCGTCAGGTTCGGCTAGTGCGACTTAAAACTGCCAAGGGGATTGTATTACGTCCAATTCAACGACTCTACCCTCTCGAATGTCTTGATTCGATTGAAGAGAACATGGACAACCAAAATTCATCGTCGCCATCAGGTGTACCATCGGATCTTTAGAAAACGAGCATTATGATTCTACTTTAAATGATGCACAAGGTACAAGCAGTGGTAATGAGTCTGCTAATGTACCTAAAGTGAGCAGAAGTGGCCGAATTATTAAACCAGTTTTGCGTTTGTCTTTATAATTTATTGTTCACTAATGGTTTCGTTCCCAAGGTGGGAGAATGTTGTAAATGGTTCATGATTATGTATTTTTTAACAATTATCAAGTGAGTAAAAGTAAGTCAATCATATTTTGAATAATAAAATTCGTATCATTCTTAAGAAAATCAGAAGCCTAAATCTTCCTGAAAGCTATTTTCAACAATATGTTTTTCTACGAAATTCTCTTACTCTAGTAAATTTCCCCTTACTTCTTTAGTTTGTCTTTGTTTGGATGCCCTTTAATTATTTGTGTGTCCCAAGAGTATGAAAGAAATTAACTAATGTTGAAATATAAAAATATAAACATATATTTAAACAGCACACACTTTTCTACTTACTTATACTATTTGTTTTCAGTCTTGCCCACCTAACCTGTGAGGCAATGAGTCGGAATGTTTGATAAACATTTCTTTGATCAATTCTGGATCTTTTATCAAAAGCACTGAAATTCATAGAATGAGTGTTTTGTTGATGAATATAAATGCCTGAACCAGACTGGGGTGGATTTAGTTTGTAGCAGCGAAAGCAAGTTTCCAAATAGTAAAGTTGACTCAGCGTAGGGCACGCCCAAGTCCTTCCAATAACTGTTGGGTTTCTTTATGTCTAAGTACAGACAAATTATAACGCTCACAACAATAATTACTGTCAGTAAATCCATTTAAAACGTAAATAAATACAAATCGGCAATGGGAGTACCTACAGTCTTGTACTTCTAAAATTACCACAGTCGTTCATATTTCAACAACAAATTAATATTGAAATGTATCGCATATATTAAATTTTTTAATCTATGGTATACGTAACAGTAAAATTTTAAAAGGTCGCTCATTAAGTATATCAGTTGACTACTGACCTTATGTTCGTTTTGCCATGAAACGAAGTTGATAAACCCCTTGTTTCAACCTACAATACCACTTAGTTTGTTTCTTTATTTAACTGATATCAGTAAATCATCCCTAATTAGATTATTAGTAAATAAATGCATGCTTCGCGTATTTGCTTTGAATGTAATTTAAGGTATTTGTCTACGTGGATTTACGAGTGTCGTTTGTATTATTTTGCAACTTGAAAAATGGCAAAATGGGAATAATATGCAGACGAATCACACCTATACATCATACAATGAGACTTTACTCCAATTATAAAAATAAGCATTGCGATAACAGTGTACGTTTTTAGATAACCCGAGCAATTGATCAATGTTTCTGCCTCCAAAAATGACCACGTACAATCTATAACTATATTATGCTCCAAAGGACATTTCTTTCAAGTGAGTACATGGTAAATAATTAATTTCTTTTTAAACTTTATTCTATCACAATAATTAATGCAGAGTAAATTCTACGCTGGGAATAATTCAGGAACAAAGGTCAACCACCAAATACGATTTCTCGCTTCTTGGTTCAAAAAGCATAAGTCAATATGATACTGTTGACAATTGCCACTGCACTATTGATCGGCACCTGTGCAATCGTACACTATTTTAAAAATAAGTACAAGTACTGGGAATCGAGAGGTGTGCCATACGACAAACCAACTTTGTTCTTCGGCAGCTTCTGGCGCTTCTTTTTCGAAAGAGATAACTTGAACAAGTACCTGGAGCGAACCGGAAAGAAATATGATTCGCCTTATTTTGGATTCTTTATATTTAACAAGCCGATACTGGTAATCCAGGATATTGAGATAGCGAAAAGGATCTTCGTTAAAGATTTCGTGTCGTTTCCAAACAAGCTATTTTTTCCTGATAAACATTACGATCCAATATTTAATAATTCATTACTAAACTTAAGAGGTGAAGAATGGAGGTATATGAGACGCAAGCTTAGTCCAGTGTTTACAACTGGCAAGATAAAGACCATGTTGGAGATAATTGATGAGTGCTCAGATCGCCTAACGAGGTATTTAGCGAACATTCCAGATGGAGATCTGGAGGTTACTGAGGTAGCGTCCCGGTTTGCAGCGGATGTGATCTCCTTATGTTTGTTTGGTGTAAAATGCGATTGTTATCAAAAGCAAGTACACAACTTTCAATATTATGGCGAAAATATACTTACCATAGGAACTATTGGTGTCATTAAAAATGCGGCGTATATATTCGTACATTTTGCGGTTAAGATTTTTAGATTCAGTTTCTTAAACCCCGAGGCAGTAAAATATTTTCGAGGAGTTTTTACAGATATTTTCAATAAACGCAAGGGGCAGTCTGTTAAGCGCAATGATTTAGTAGACATTTTGCTGGGTTTGAAGCAAAATGATGGATTTAATAGCAGTTTCGTGCTCGGTATGTTCATCTACAAGTAGCGTACACGTTTCATGAATTTCTTTAGACGACACCCAACTACTTGCACAAGCGATTGCCTTTACCTTGGCGGGACAAGAAACGACGTCATCTCTGCTCTCTTTTACGCTCCACGAGTTAAGTCTAAACAACAAAATACAAGATCGATTGAGACAAGAAATTGTTGAAATAAGTAATAGATATGGAAATATCACTTCTAAGGCATTACGAGAAATGAAGTACTTAAGCATGGTTGTTAATGGTACGATCTTTATAATTTTGCAAACATTTCAAGTTCTTATTAGAAACACTACGGAAGTACCCTATCACGACTTTTATTCAACGGGAGGCACATGATGACTACACGATTCCTGAAACAGGACTCCATTTGGAACGGGGAACGAGTATAATTGTACCTTTAAAAAGTCTCCATTACAACCCCAAGTGCTTTCCAAACCCTGAGATTTACGATCCGGAAAGGTTTAGGGAGCAGGATATACCATTGGCCTTTGGTATGGGGCCCAGAGCTTGCATCGGTAAATACTACATTGGCATATTTTATTCTAATGTGTTTTTACAGGAAAAAGGTTTGCTCTGGTAATGATAAAGATGGCACTGACAAATATACTGAAGAATTTTAAAGTGGAAAGAAATGCAGAAACAAGGGAGACAGTAACAATTGACTCACCGCACATTTTTAGACCAGAAAACTGCGTCAATGTAAGATTTACGCAGCTCAGAGAAACGTAGTGATCCACTCAGATGACCTCATCTACAAGTGGTGTCGTTTAAAATTAACTAAAAGAAGTATCGTTTTTGTCGTGAGATTTTGATCTCGTGTATAAATAAATCCCTTGAATACATTTTATATACCAATTTATAGTTTATTAGTGAACCTCAATTCCGGGTACAAAACAGAAAAATTAATGAAAACTTTTATCTAGGTCGTAATTAAGGCTCGATTAAACACAAAACTAACTATTTACAGATGAAAAAAATGAATTCGACATAATTCAATCAAATAAATTGTAAGAAAAATAGGCTCTCAGGGCCAGAAAAAACCACGCAACGCAAGAGATCGACCTGTCGTACCTGCAATTTTCAACAAGCAGATGCAGAAATACCATGCGAATATTGCTTTAAAACTTAACCTCTTGGCTTCAATTATAGCACTCGAATCTCGATTTGGACGGTACTGGGTTCGTTGTATTTGCTGATGTAGAATTTAGCTCTTTGATGATTCAAAAACTGCCTTTAACGGGTACTGGGAAGCAACTGCTTTACTATTAAACATTTACTTCTATCACGACGGCTTTAGCCTCTTAAAGGCGGGGCTTCACCAAATTGGGATATCTCGGCGGCATTTGCGGCCTTGTCGCCAACGCAAAATGCCGCGGTTTCCTTTTGTATTAGGTTATATGGCCCTAAAAATTATTGACAATTACCAACTAATACTTTTGGTACAAATAAACTTGTCCTAGAATTTTACAGTCAACTAATCGCAAATTACAACCAGCTTTTAGCGTAAAAAGTCAATTAAATATACAGACCGTGCGTGTGTCCCATCAAAAAAATCAACTCACACGAACATTTTAGAAAGCTCTAGAGATCTCGGAAAAGCTTAAAAGGTAAGGAACGCGCATATTTTAATGGCCTTTAAAAATTTATTAGAATCTGTTGTTCACTATTTCAAGGACCTTAGTACGTCTTATATATTTTCTAAGGCTCTAGGAATGCGTGTTGAAAACTTCTTGGAGGTATTTTCAAATAGGCTATACCAAAACAGTCTCGCTCTGAAAACTAGAGGAGATATAAAGAAGATATTAGTGTGGAAAGAATTGCAGAATAGTATATTAAGATACAAGTGTATAATCAAGTCTTTAAAGCACGCGCAACGAGTTTAAGGGCACGACGCAAAGCGGAGTGCCTTTAACGTTGCAAGTGCTTTAAAGACCAATTATACACGTGTATCTTATAGTATTTTTTATTATACCTGCAGTATAATTTAAAAATAGGAAATACAATGAAGTCATATTGACGTTATACTCGAATACATGTCTAATTAAGTGGGCTGGGTGTTCGTAATTTCACGATTGCCATGGAAATGTCACTTGACGTTTGCTTATAAAAATCATCGTCTTTGTGAATTAAACGATTTCCGTTGAAAAAGATAATACACTGTCCATTAAATCGATTGTTGTAAAATCTAAACAAACGTTGGTAGGTGTAAAATCCAACTCCAGTAAAGTCTATTATAAAGAATATGAAAAGTTGTTTCCATGGATGAATAGGAAGTTACTTACGAATACAGTCTTAAATGCATCCATAATGCTGGCATATATGAAGGAAATGTCAAAGGTATTTAAATCTTCTATATTTTGGTGCATTCATTCAAAACAATGCTGCGATTAAAAAGTGGAACAGATTTGGAAGCATACCCTAAATTACGCGCGTTTGTGAAAGCTTCAACCAAAGGATAGGTACAAAAGCCAAAGAAATGTTCTGCATTTACAGAAAGCGACCTAAGAGGGTTTTTTATTTCATCCAGATGACAGTTTCAAAAGTCATACTTGAAGTATCGTTACTTAGCAACTTTAAAGCACGTGTGTTTTAAAGGCCCTTTTTCGCACGCATTTGAGTGTATAAAACGGAGATTGTGATTCAGGTATAATAAAAAAATAAATGTAGGTGCTTTCTAAATGGCTGTGGCATTCTGGTATGTCATGGGAATAGTTATAGGGAATTTGGTGCTATAATTTATTCCATCTTATTTGTATTACGCGGCATTTCAAAGGTCACATGAGCTGTGATATTAATAATATTCGATAATACGTTATCAACAATGGTTAGTGAAGAATACGTCAAAACTTTTTAATACCAAATTTATTCACTGCTTAAGGTAATTAAATAATTCCGTTTTCTTTACCTCACCAAAACCAAATTACGTTTTCAGATGATTCTTCTTGCTGTTATAGTCATCGCCTTGGCATGCATTTACGCAGCTGTACGTTATTTTAACAACACGTACAAGTACTGGCAATTAAGAAATGTACCATACGAAGAACCTACAATGTTCTTCGGTAGCTTCCTAAACTTATTTTTCGAAAAAGACAACCTACGGAGATTCCTGGATAGGACTAGCAAAAAATTCGATTCGCCCTACTATGGCTTTTTTATATTTAATAAACCGTTTTTGGTCGTTAAGGATCTTGAAATAGTCAAGCGGATTATGATCAGAGATTTTGCGTCGTTTCCAAACAAATTGTTTTTGGATGATAAGGAGTGCGACCCGGTGTTTAACAACTCCTTGTTTGGCACTAGAGATCAGGAGTGGAGGTCGTTGAGACACCGACTGAGTCCAGTTTTTACATCTGGAAAGCTAAAGGGAATGCTATCGTTAATCGCCGAATGCGGGGAGAGGTTGGAAAGTCATTTAGACAAAATTTCCAATGAAAGTGTAGAAGTCACCGATGTACTGTCAAGATATTCAACGGAAGTAATATCTTCGTGTGCGTTTGGAGTTAAGTGCGATTGTTTCCAAAAGGAAGTTAGTGAATTTCAGCGTTACGGAGAAGACATATTTCCCAAAGGCGCAATTGGATTAATTAAAAATATTTCGTACATATTCGTACACTCTATTGCCAGATTCTTTAAACTTAGCTTTCTGAACCAGAATGGAGTGAAATATTTTCGCAAAGTCTTTAAGAAGGTTCTGAGCCAACGGATGACCCAAAGTACCAGGCGTAACGACTTTGTTGACCTTCTACTTGACTTGAAAAGCCAAGAGGAAAACGACGAAAGCTTCGGATTAGGTAAAAAAACCACAATTTTTTCTGTCTACATTATACTGCTTAGATGATGAGCGAATGCTGGCACAAGCGATACCATTCTTCGCGGCTGGGCACGAAACGACAACGGCCATAGTTTCCTTTGTACTTCACGAATTAAGCCTAAATAGCGCAATACAGGATCGCCTAAGACAAGAAATTCAAAGTGTAGTTAATAACCATGGAGAAATCAGTTATCAGGCATTGGAAGACATGAAATACTTAAAAATGGTTATTTTAGGTATAATTTTTATCGTTTCTTGGCCACTTGCTTACTTGCTTTTAGAAACACTCCGAAAGTACCCTATTATCAGTTTTATTCAACGACAGTCGCTCCATCAGTATACAATTCCCGAAACTGGACTGCAACTGGAACGTGGTACCGGGATTATCGTTCCAATTAGAGGTTTCCATCACAATCCCATGTACTTTCCGGATCCTGAGGTATACGACCCGGAAAGATTTAGTGACGATAATAAACAGCAGCGAGATTCCAACCTAATTTTGGCATTTGGTATTGGGCCCAGGAATTGTCTAGGTAAAGGTTAAATTTTCAGCATATCCTTCAGATTGTTTAACACTTGTAGGAAAGAGATTTGCTTGGATAACAATGAAGATGGCGATGGTGTATATTTTGAGAAACTTTAAAGTGGAGAAGAACTCACAAACAGCAGAAGTATTAAGTATTATTTCACCGCATGTTTCTCGTTCTCCCAGTGGCGTTAATCTAACTTTTAAGCGTTTGTAGTTTGTCTAATATGTTGTTTTGGTAAAAAAAAGTCTTAAAATATTAAATATAGGCGTGATCAGATTATTTATTTTTTCCATATATAAGTGCACAATCAGAGAGTATTTATCAGCAGAGTAAAGCTACTACTAACCAACTGCAACACCGTTACCTACTAGTAGAGTATGATACGCTAATAATAAGTAATAACAGAAAGCTTGCCCTATTGAAGTGAATGATTGACTATCGCCAAGAAAGTTCCAGATTTTAATCTGGGTTACCTACCATTTTATTGTTAATTTCATTTTCTCTTCAAGGTTTAATAAGAAACGTACAAGTTCATTTGTTTGATTTTGATGTAGGATATCTAAATTAATCACCGAGAAGAAAAAAATCTCTATCAAATGAGCCTAATGAAAAGATGCACAGCCATTCAAAAAAATGCAATTGTTTTTCGTTACTCATTTGTTTTCTAAAATAAAAACAACTGAATGCTGCCTTAATATGGGAAATAAAATGTTAAACAATTTTCCTACCTTTGTATACATTCGATATTTACTATATTCCATACATAATGGGCATCCTGTATGTTCTGGTCTGTAGAGTCCAAAACGACCAACATTTTCAGGATTGGACATCACAAGTTATGGGCCAGAAACCAATCTCGAAAATAATTCAAAGTACTATTGCTACAACCTTTTGAGTTTTGATGTGGTTATCCAATCTGGAAAATGCTGGTCGTTTTGGATTTTACAAGTCAAAATCAATAAGCATTTTCATAAATCATACATGAAGATCACCCCCAAATACGTTCCCTCGTGGCATTTTAGCGAAAACCGCAATCCACTCCAGGTGACCAGAGTATTCACTTTTTGATGCGTCAACGTGTAGATAAAGGTAATGTACGCACGCGGTCAGGTGGCCCAATATATTTGTGTTTATGAACACTGTAGTTATACAATTCCGTATGATAAGTAATTCATTGGCGAATGAATCGGCAATACGTGCGGTTGTATGTGATCTGTTTTAGGAAATGTGTCCGTATCACGTGTAAAGGGTGAGTTTTATTTTTATGAAAGATCAGATGACGCATCAAAGACTTTTTTGATTATAATATCACATGGCATCAAGAGGTGGATTAAGTTAGCACACCTCAATTTGTTACATCGCCAAAATATTGTGCTCATTTTGTTCTAATGTGTGCGCCAATCCCCAAATGTTGTGCGCTTCTCGTTTACAAGAAAATCAAAATTTCCCGTGGGTGGTACTGAAACACCATCATTCTCGTATCACATAACCTAATACTAATGCCAACATTGAGATTTTGGGCGTCTTTCCTTTCGGAGTAATTAAAATGTTCTAAAGGGGTTGCCAACCTAACGCAACGCCCCTCACAATCGGAGTGACTTGCAACCTACGTCACAGTTTTGTGCCTATTTTGCGGGTCCTCCGTTTCAGAGAAAATCAAAATGTTCAGTTGGGAGACCATAGTTTGGCGTTTTTATGGTTCACAGGTTTCTGTGTCCGTCTTGACGTTTAATAGGTTAGGGCTCCGTCAGGATTATCCAGAATCATACCATTCGAGTCGAGAAACGCTGAATTTGCAATATTAAACATCCGTCAGCATTTAATGAATGTACTTTTGGTGTTTTTGATTAGTTAAAGATGGTTAATAGAATTAGTTAGCGCCATTTTGTGGGTGTTCTTGCAAATTGAAAAGATCAGTAGGGGTTACAGGAGGAGATATTTAGAAGCGTTTGGTTTTGAGCCGCTGTAGAGAGCTCAGGTCCGAGATTCGGTTTGAGCCACGAGAACCTCATGTAAGCCGTCCAGAAAAATATGTTTGTCGGTCAATTTTTAGGCATTATTTTAGCACGTGAGAATTGCGCAAAGTTCCCTGTCGAAAAAAGGAAATTTCCGGAAGCAGATTAATTAAAGGTCGATTTAATCTAACCAAAAAGATGTTTCGTTAACCAAGTGCTTTAAAATCGTTCAAGATAAATAACGTATAAAAGCGAAACTGTGACAAAACGAGCGAATGTTTACCGACGAAAAAAAAGTTAGCTAGTTAGCAGTTGATTTAGTCAGTTTAAATGAGAATTTCCTTGGAAATTAGTCCAATTATGTCAACCATAAGGTGTACATTCTTATTGAAAAATTACCATAATTCTTATTGTTCAGCAAAATTCAAAAAGCCGTGTTCAAAAAAGAACGTGGCTGCGATATAGGGGTAGGTTAACTTAAGAAATTCATCATATACATAACAAATATTTGACCGTTTATAGAAACGAATCTATTTTCTTCATTTTAAATCGGTTTGTTGTCCATATCTTTGAATTTTCCCCGTAGCAATAATGCTTCACACTTTTATTCTAAATACATAAACCCCCCCCTCCTCGGTGGTAACACATTTAGTGACGCATGACGATATCACACTCGCTTTTCCCTGTTACTAAGAGTGGATCCTTTTTGGTGCGCCACATCGTATATCAGTGTAATGTACTCTGATTGTTAAGTGACCTGCCCCTATTTATCTATACTGCAGTTATAAAATTATGTAATTCATTTATTTGCGAAATATTGGATGGTGTATCGAGAAGGTTTCACCCTTATCTTGTAAGCAAATAAATCTATTACTCAATACTTACTTTTGGAGGAGTAGGATAGTGGATTGTTTTAATAAATTTTATTAGTTTCATAAACGGGTAAGGAAACACGATCGTGTCTCACGATTTCGTTAAACAGGAAGGTGCCAAATAAATATTCTTGAACTACGAAAATATCCCAACGATCGTATACTGTTTACACGGTAAAATGTGGTGTACTGTTGTAATGTGCGTTTCCCTTTTTACCACAAGGTAAATCTTAAGGGAGGTATCACTATTTTTAAATATTGTTAAAATATCTTCTTTTTTGCCTGGTAAACTTTGTAGTGGGTAGTGTATGTTCGTAGCTTCTTGCGTTTTACGAATAAATAGCACTATTTCTTATTAAAACATAGTGATATTTACATTTTCAAATCAGAAAATAGGCTGTATCAAATGACACAAGAAGTAACAATTATTTCCATAAGAAAAAACAAATGACGGTTTACCCGAGACGAAACGTCAGACTTAAAATTTAAAACTAGCATCTTGTAGAGGGAAAAAAGTGGCCATAATAATGTGTCATTTATTTTGAAATATCTTTTTTAATAACCTCGGTAAAAAATAAAAACGATTTTGCAAAATTCCGTTTTTTCCGGATATCTCCGGAAGTAGTCTGAATTTTTTCAGTTTCAAAACGGCATTTTGTTAAGCATTAAAATACGTAACTTTGCCAAATTTTAACCACCTACCTATCTCTTACAGTTTCCGAGATCTCCATCCCTCACCACACCAAAACATGAGCTGTCGTTAAGTTTTTACCGTATTTTCCTAAAAGTGAAAAAATGCTATTCACTTCTACACGAATGAATGTGTGTTGAAAACTTCTAGGAGGTATTTCCAAATAGGCTATAGCAAAACAGTCTGGCTCTGGAAACCATCAGAGGAAATAAAAGGAGATACAATTAATGTGAAAAGAATTGCAGAGGAATAAATGTAGGTGTTTTTTAAATGGCTGTGGAATTCTGGTATTTACACAAAAACATGTCTAGAGGGAATTCGGTGCCATCTTATTTGTATTAGGCGACATTTCAAAGGTCACATGAGCGGTATATTTTTAATATACGATAATACGTTATCAACACTGGCTAGTGAAGAATACGTCAAAACTTGTTAATACCCAATCTATTCACTGCTTAAGGTAATTAAATAATTCCGTTTTCTTATATAAAGCCTTTACCTGACGACAACTAATTTACGTTTTCAGATGATTCTTCTTGCTGTTATAGTTATCGCCTTGGCATGCATTTACGCAGCCGTCCGTTATTTTAACAGCACGTACAAGTACTGGCAATCCCGAAACGTACCGTACGAAGAGCCGACAATGTTCTTTGGTAGCTTCCTAAACTTGTTTTTTGAAAAAGACAACCTACGGAGATTCCTGGATAGGACTAGCAAAAATTCGATTCGCCCTACTATGGGTTTTTTATATTTAATAAACCGTTTTTGGTCGTTAAGGATCTTGAAATAGTCAAGCGGATTATGATCAGGGATTTTTCGTCGTTTCCAAACAAATTGTTTTTGGATGATAAGGAGTGCGACCCGGTGTTTAACAACTCCTTGTTTGGCACTAGAGATCAGGAGTGGAGGTCGTTGAGATACCGACTCAGTCCAGTTTTTACTACTGGAAAGCTAAAGGGAATGCTGCCGTTAATCGGCGAATGCGGAGAGAGATTGGAAAGACATTTAGAAAAAATTTCCAATGAAAATGTAGAAGTCACCGATGTACTGTCAAGATATTCGACGGAAGTAATATCTTCGTGTGCGTTTGGTGTTAAGTGCGATTGTTTTCAAAAGAAAGTTAGCGAGTTTCAGCATTACGGAAAAAAAATATTTCCCAAAGACACAATTGGATTAATAAAAAATATTTCGTACATATTCGTACATTCTGTTGCCAAGTTCTTTAAATTTAGCTTGCTGAACCAGAGTGGAGTGAAATATTTTCGCAAAGTATTTAAGGAGGTTCTGAACCAACGAATGACCCAAAGTACCAGGCGTAACGACTTTGTTGACCTTTTACTTGACTTGAAACGCCAAGAGGAAAAACACGAAATCTTCGGATTAGGTAATAACTAATAAGTATGCAAACCACAAATTCTTCGATCTGCATCTACTGCTTAGATGACGAGCGAATGCTGGCACAAGCGATACCATTCTTCGCGGCTGGACTCGAAACGACAGCGACCATAGTTTCCTTTGCACTTCACGAACTAAGCCTAAATAGCGCAATACAAGATCGCCTAAGACAAGAAATTCAAAGTGTAGTTAATAACTATGAAGTAATCAGTTATCAGGCATTGGAAGAAATGAAGTACTTAAAAATGGTGATTTTAGGTATAATTTTTACCATTTTTTGAACATTTGCTTACTTATTTCTAGAAACATTACGAAAGTACCCAATTCTCAGTTTTATTCAACGAGAATCGCTCCATCACTATACAATTCCCGAAACTGGACTGCAACTGGAACGTGGTACCGGGATTATAGTTCCAATTAGAGGTTTCCATCACAATCCCATGTACTTCCCGGATCCTGAGGTATACGACCCGGAAAGATTTAGTGACGAGAATAAACAGCAGCGAGACTCTAACCTAATTTTGGCATTTGGTATTGGACCCAGGAATTGTATAGGTAAACGTTAAAACTTGCAGCATATCCTTCAGATTGTTAAAACTCGTAGGAAAGAGATTTGCTTGGACGACAATGATGATCGCGATGGTGTATATTTTGAGAAACTTTAAAGTGGAGAGGAACTCGCAAACAGTAGAAGTGTTAAGTATTATTTCACCGCATGTTTCTCGTTCTCCCAGTGGCGTTAATCTAACTTTTAAGCGTTTGTAGTTTCTCTAATATATTATTATTTTGGTAAAATATTAAAAAATATTATTAAATATAAAATGTGTTTAAACGGCGTGACCAAATTATTTATTTTTTTCCAAATATTATAACAATGTAAATTAGTATTAGTATTAGTAGTGTCGAAAAAAATTCTACATCGATCAATTATTATATTCCCTATACCCATCTGTTATGCTTTTCGGTTTATTTAAGATTTTCTAAAATTGTGACCGTCATATGCATAATTTTCTTAAGAGGCCTTTAAATAAACGCGTTAGTAGATGTCATTGTACCATCTTTGGAAACATTACTTGGGCAAAATTGCTGGTTTCAACTTGACGGAGCGCCCGCTCATTCTACCCATGATGCTTGAAATAATTATGTCTTTGAACATTTTTAAAAAACACAGTTTTACACCAGTTGTTTCTCGTGAATAACTGGATGTTAGGGTGAGAATAGCTTTTAACGGAATTGAGTAGGAATTCGAGAGGCGGCTACTAACGGAGTTCCTCAGAGGATGCTATTATGCATTGAAAAACACGGTGGGCACGTAGCATCAAAACCTCAATTGAGGTTTGTTTTTTATTTCGATATTTGTTATTGTTACCTATTTCTGTTTATTGTGCAATCTTTATTTAACTTTTAAATTAAAGTAAATAGGATTCTTTTCATATTTATAGTGATATAAACTACCATGAACGACGAATAATAACAATTATTGACCATTACTTTTAAAACACCCTGTAGAAGGATACTTATAATATAAATTATTCTCACGTATCATGTAGCCAGTATTGCTGATTTTGGACTTTTTGCAATTCAAGTCAACGGAGTCATAGGTATAGGACCCTTAAAAGCAGCCAAACGTCAAAAATTTTGAAAAATCTGGAATAACTTGAAAACGTTTAATGCTTAGTACAGGTATATGTGATATCAAACGACGCACATTTTCTTTTAGATTTCAAAAATGCAATAAGATACAGGGTGTTCTATGTAAAATAAGAAAGTTGCTGTCCACACACGGTAAAACAGGAAGTGAAACCATCATGATAATAATTGCGTTCGATAGGTCATGAAAAACTATGTTGGTATGCAAATTTTCAGATATAATATAAATTATTAATGGGAATCCGAATACTTCTAGGTAACGGTTTGCGTGGAACAGTCTGTATGGTAGCTGTTGTTCTAACACGTTTACCTTAATTATCCCAACTTTGTCTCACAAATATGAACAGCCGATTTTTGTGCATGGAGCTTTTTGTGTCGTCGAGACCCGGAAACCTTTGCTGTTTAGAGTGTTTTTTAATCTCTGGATCATAAGGATCATCCATATTGATAATGCATGTCAAAAACTTTGTGGAATCTTCAATACGACGGGACATTTCATTTGACAGTTTCTGATCAACGTTTAAGTATTTCATTTTATTCATTCCCGGTAACCCTTTGAAAAAATAAATACACAATAACTGACCGAAAGTTGTCAAAACCTAGCTTCTTTTTGGGCACGCCGTTTTCGAAAACTCATGCCACAATTTAACGTATGAATACCAAACTTTGAGAGCTTGTAACAGGCGGTCTTTTAGGCTTTACAGATTTTTTTTTAATTCTACAAATTATTTATTATATTTTCAATTTAAAAGAGCACCTACATGCATGGGTGATTTACAAGTACCTAACTATAAACTTTCGAGCTATGTTTTAGGTATTTTAAAAAACGAAAGCCTAAGAGACGAAAATAATGATCACATTAGATCCCCTTTTTTTGATATCGTTCTTTTTCTTCCATACCTACCCCCCTATCAAAATATACCAATATATGATTTTTTTAATCCGGTTTCACTTTTTAGACCGTGTTGAGAGGTACCTACCTAATCGCTAGCCATCCAAAACGACGACACTATTCCAAAACCGATGCGAAGACTAAATATTCTTGCCAATTGGAGAAAGGTTGCTCGACAAATCCCGAAATTGACGGCGAAGCACAACATACATTTAGGTAGGATAATGAAACACTGCGTACACACGTTTATTAAAAAAACTTATTATTGTAGGTGTGAGCAGTATTGCACCACATCGAATTCGGCGCTGTCGTCATCTACCTTCAGAGTGGCCACTAGGAACACTATTAGCTGGACGATATGGATGAAGAAAATGAAAAGTAAAAGTAAAATGCTTGATGACAATAAAAAAGGCGTCTCACTAGTCACTTCTGAGGACTAAGATCGCCGGCAATTTTTTTTACATCTTTTATGTTTGGGATCATAGGAACCAAAACAAAATTGTCGTCAAAAGATACGTATTTATTTATTTTTCAAGTAGCCACAAAAAACTGTGTTGCAAAAAGAACCATTTCGCGTGATTTGAGTACACATTTCAAGTGCAATTTCGCGTGGCAAAACCGAGAAACATGGGTGAAACCGATAAAAGGTTAAAAATAAGAAAGAAAAAAAAATGTATAGGTATTTTAAAATTTAAATTCAAAAGTTTTGTTTTGGAAATAATTTTTGAATTCAAAAGTTTCTTGAAATATTTCTTCAATTCAAAAAAGTTTTTTGAAATGTTTTTCGAATTCAAAAGTTTTTTGAAATTCAGTCAAAAAAGTTTTTTAAAATATTTTTTTAATTCAAAAGTTTTTTGAAATCATTTTTGAATTCAACAAATTTTTGAAATATAGGTTTTTTGATTTGCTATTTTTAATTCAAAAGAGCCCTGGAAATAATTTTTGAAATCTCAAAAAAGTTTTTGAAATATTTAATTTGTTAGTGGTTTTTTATAACGAATTTTTCAAAAAGATCATTTAAAAAATTCAAAAAGTACTATAAAAATTCAATTCAAATAATATTTTTAAAATTATCAAATCATTCTCGATTTCTTCACACGAACATTTAAGGCATTGATTTTCACCGGCGACACTGGAAAACCACGTTCCTTATACCCACTTAATTCCACTAATCTGCAGGGATTGTGTGCTAATAGCGTTTATACACACACGACGGAAACTACTTGTAATCATAGTTGATTGGACCCACAACTGACTTTTAATTTCCAGACAAATGGCCGTGGTTTCCTTACTGCATCTGCGCTTGTAGCCTCCCGCAGAGAATAAATAATAGGATGACCCTAAAACAATAAATATGTACTGTTACATACTGAATAATTGTGATTAAAGATGTACGACAGTTTTTTTAATAAACTTACCACCAGAACTGTATTTATTCGACGTAACAAGGACATAAACAAATTTTGTTGTGCAGGCCGATATCCCAAAACTAACCTTCCAGTCCTGTAAAAAAGTGATATAATTTAAGTGAAGCTGAAGAGGTAACTATACAGTGTGATCCATTACGTCTGCAACAAATTTTTCTATATTAAATGATAATGAAGTGAGTATATTTAGTGAAACAAGATAGTAAAACATTTCACTCATTCAAGTACCTACCAATTACCGATTACTAATTAAATTGGAATGGGTTCAAAACAAAATAGTACCGGACATGTCAAAAAATATATGGTTTACTTACCATAATTTCTAAGTATAGTAAAATGTTATTGAGAAAAGTTCAGAATGCGAGAAGTTTTTTAATTTTGTTTGTCCATGTCACGATATCGATAGCTTTGTTTAAAAACGTCTGAACGAATTGGTACACTTGTTTTTAACGATATGAAAGGTGACTATTGTTTTTCAGCCCCGTAGTTATAAAAATTATGGATGCGTAAATCCAAAACGATTCGTACAAAACGATTCGTACTTTTTCGATTACTCCTCTCAATCAAAAGTTATGGACAATACCACAGGTTGCAACGTAGCAGATACGGAGCAAACTATTATAGTCCCTGCTTTTTAAATAAACTGCCTACAGACATAACAAAGCTCCCATACAGGATTTTTAAACACAATTTGAAAAAGTTTCTATTGAGAAAAAGCTATCGTTGGCCTTCGGCCGATTTTCTGGAGTAAATTATACACGTCTAAGGCCTGTAGAATCCATAATTTCAAACAGTTCCAAGATTGAGCTACTAGTTCAAAAGTTACAGCCCTTTGAATTTTCTTTCTGAATTGGTTTCTAGTCTATAACTTTTTATTGAGAGGTCTGATCGAAAAAGTACGAATTGTTTTGGATTCTACGCCCCAAAATTAATAAGAAAAAGTGTTTTCCCGAGAAATTTTGGTGCAGTTGATTTTTGGTAAAAAAGGAAGGGGTAATACACTGCCTTTTTTTGATGCTCGAAGAAAAAATTGTCTCAGATCGACTCGGAAAAAAAATTTTCTTATAGAATGTGGCCTGTAGAATCCATAATTTCAAACAGTTCCAAGATTGGGCTACTAGTTCAAAAGTTACAGCCCTTTGAATTTTCTTTCGAAATTGGTTTCTAGTCTATAACTTTTGATTGAGAAGTCTGATCGAAAAAGTACGAATTGTTTTGGATTCTACGCACCAAAATTAATAAGAAAAAGTGTTTTCCCGAGAAATTTTGGTGCAGTCGATTTTTGGTAAAAAAGGAAGGTTATACACTGCCTTTTTTTGAGCCCCGAAAAAAAAATTGTCTCAGATCGACCCGGAAAAAAATTTTCTTATAGAATGTGGCCTGTAGAATCCATAATTTCAAACAGTTCCAAGATTGGGCTACTAGTTCAAAAGTTACAGCCCTTTGAATTTTTTTCGAAATTGGTTTCTAGTCTATAACTTTTGATTGAGAAGTCTGATCGAAAAAGTACGAATTGTTTGGATTCTACGCACCAAAATTAATAAGAAAAAGTGTTTTCCCGAGAAATTTTGGTGTAGTCGATTTTTGGTAAAAAAGGAAGGTTATACACTGCCTTTTTTTGAGGCCCCGAAAAAAAATTGTCTCAGATCGACCCGGAAAAAAATTTTCTTATAGAATGTGGCCTGTAGAATCCATAATTTCAAACAGTTCCAAGATTGGGCTACTAGTTCAAAAGTTACAGCCCTTTGAATTTTCTTTCGAAATTGGTTTCTAGTCTATAACTTTTGATTGAGAAGTCTGATCGAAAAAGTACGAATTGTTTTGGATTCTACGCACCAAAATTAATGAGAAAAAGTGTTTTCCCGAGAAATTTTGGTGCAGTCGATTTTTGGTAAAAAAGGAAGGTTATACACTGCCTTTTTTTGAGGCTCCAAAAGAAAATTG